GGGTAGGGGTGAGGTTTTGATTTTTATTTCATCTGAAGGAACTACCATGTTTTACTGAGGCCTTCTCTTTCTGGACATTTTTAATTGCAAAGTTGGGTGTCAGATTTTGCTGAGACTTTGAGGATAAGAATATTTTAACAGTGCTTATGGAAGGCTAACGTATGATTTGTGCCTTTTGTAAAAGGGAGACATTGTACAATGCTTTACCTAATACTTATAAATGTTAGTTGTAGAAGCAGAGAAAAGAAAGACAGACGAAGCTATCAAAGACCTGGAAACATTTTGGAAATACCTGGAGCCAGTTCTGAACAGTGGAAAGCATGGATCAAGTCTCTTTGATGTTGCCATACTTCATCACTTAGTTAAGGAGAGTGCCTTTCCCCTGGATTGGTCTGATGGAGAAATGCTGGTCAGTAGATTCTGCTTTCACAATCCATGGCATGCTTTGGGGTTTGTAACATAGACCAATATAGAAATGACAGGACTTTTAGCTTAGTCTTCTATGAAACAGAACAAGAGTAGTTAGTATATTTGTAATCTTAAAAAAAAAATAAAAATAAATAAATAAAAAAATCCTATATATCCAGCAAGTTTATTCAGCATGTATTTGCAAGGAGTCCTTTGAATAAAAATACCTGACTTGGAGTTTCTTATATTGTAGGCCACAGCAGCTGACTTAAAACAGTTTGTGATATTAAATTTATTCAGCATCTTTACATAGATGCAGTTTGGATCTCATTAGAGAGTCAGATGCCCATATGAAATAACATAAAAATTAGATTTTTGTGCTCATAACAGCAGGTCTACTTACTGTAGCTCAGAACAGTCACATGAGAACAAATTAAATGAATGCAAAAATACTTTTTGATGTAAAATTTTGTTTTATCATATGCAGTACTGCCTCTTTTTGTCCAACCCAAAGCATGGCTTAGGCTTATTACTCATTATAGCCTGCTGAGTCAGGACTGTTACTGGGCACTGCAGAGAAAGTGAACCATTAGAAAATTTTTTCAGCCTCAGATCTGAAGTATAGTGAGGTGAAAGGGTCCAGTATTTTTCAGTCCACAATGGCAGCAGTAAAAATATAAACTGTTAAGTCAAAATAAAGAAACATTCCATAACTTAGCCTGCTGTATTTGTAGTCTATATTATTAGGGTTAACAGACTACATCCTCCTAATGCCTATTTTTAGTACACTAAATCCTGTATATAAACAATCTGGTGAGCTGGGAAGTACCCTTGATCCTGAAGGGATCAGAACTGAGTTTGGCTAAATCCACAGTGGTTTCCAAACCATCCACTAAAAATGCCTCAAATTGTGGAAACATGTAGGCTTGCTACTTACAACATTACTTATCATTATACTCTTGATCTAATCTTACAATATTAAGCCTATTTGGGAAAAAAGGGGGGTTTATCTTGTGTATCTTACCCATAATCACATCTTGTTAGGGGACTGTTGCCACTCATGAATATCCTACTAGCAGCTATATTATAGCTGAAATAGAAGAAAAATGATCTGTCGCTGAAAGTGTTCCAGCAGACTCTAGCTGTAATTTCACATTCTTCAGTATCTCAGAATTCAGCAGCGCTCCAAAGAAGTAGGAATATTTGTAAGCTTTCAAAGAAACGGATGGCAAGAATGTATGTTGTGAAATCATAGGTGGATAGAGTAAGTCTGTTCTGGTGGACTTGCTGGAGAGTCTCCAAGTCCTAGCTTGCTGCATCTCTAAAGTCCAAGAGACACAGAAGAAAAACTCTTGTGGCAAATTGTTAGACATCAATATAAAAATGGAGTATTACTTACAGCAAGTAGTCTCTAATTTCAGATATCTAGGAAGGAAAATAATTTCCAAAATATTTTTCTTGGTTCAAGAGGCACTAATGGTTAGACTCAGAAAACTTTTGACAAGCATCTGTGTCTGTCCTGAGAAGAGAGAGCAAGCAAATTGTAATTATACTAAACTTTGCATGTGTCCCATTAAGTAGTGCCAGGTATTGTTACTTGTAACTTTGTAAAAGATCTTTTTTTGTTTAAAATATTGCTCATCCAAAACAATCCACTATTTTAATCAAAATGTTCATGTGTTCTAGTGATCTCTTAAGTAATATATGAATGAAATGCTTTTATACTAACCCATTCTTCAGAAGAGTATTGAATTGGAAGAACAAAGATGCAGGAATACTAACTTTGAAAATTCTCTTTTCACGAATAGAAATTCTCTCCCAAATATCTCACCTAGTCTTTAAATGTTATGAAAACTGAGACAAGTATTCCGTAACTGATGGAACAATGATTTGGGGTTCTTGTTTTGAAGTGCCATAAAGAGGGTCTGAAGAAAACAGATGCTTAATACTTCTTAAGGGTCAGTGCTGATTGACACTTGTCATTCCTTATCCTCACTGTGTTTTATTTTAAGAAACTTAAAATTGGAACATCCAATTTTGATAGCCACCTGTTAGAGGCAAACTTCTTCATATGACACTTCTCCTACTTTCACAAAAGTGAAAAAATCACTCAGAAAAGGGCTGATGTCAGAAATTGTTTAAAAATTAGAATAATTTAATCTATTCCACAATGTGTAGGGTGTACAAGGGAAGACTATGTCCATTAAAACCACTGAAACTTGAGTGTGTGGCATGTGGCTTCACATAGGGTTTTGGTATTTGTACAAAAGCATTTCACATCTCAGATAACAGTTGCTGCTATTCTTTTTATTCCTCCCAAGCTTCAGTGAAAACCATAGTACAATACCTCAAGAACCTTGACTCTTTCCTTGTCAGATACTTGCAGGTACAGCAATCTTCCTTCAGACATTTGGGCCAGTATGCTGATACTCCTTTGCTTGCACAGCTATGGATCTCAGAGTTCAGTTCTTGAGGCTTTCTTTATTTTAAAAGGGCATCAGAAAGAAAGAAAATATGATATTACATTTATTACTTGACAGGGTTTTATTTTTTTGGGTTTTATTCTTCAAGGGCAGGAGAATCATTGACATAGCAAATATGCTGCAGGTTGATCACCAGGAGAAACATACACATTAAGTTACCTCTCCTGTTCCTTCCCCAAAAAAATGACCTAAATTCCATTTGCAGGAGAGCAGACCTGTTAAGACAAGTTAGACTTTATAACAACTGAAGCAGTTAGTTAGGCAGTACTCAGTCAGTCCATACCGTGGTGTGGGAGTGTTTATGCTAACAAAAATGAGGAGGCCTTGTTTTCTTAGAATAATTCTATAAAACATTTTGAATTAGTGGAGAAAAAAATCCCTTGGAAGTTTTTTTTAAACAGCTGTAGATCCGCTCAGTAGAGAGCTAGTGACTCATGTGGCAAAGTTACATGACACTTTTGTATGAAACTTCACCCTTTGTATCTGATTTTCTGTCTTAGCTTGCACTTGGCACTGCACTGTTTGAAAGCATTGCTTGTTTGATGTATGACTGCCTGGACTGGAGAAGACAGCACTATAACTACTTGGAAAACACCAAGTTTATTAATGTGCCCATATTATCGGAGAGCAATTCAACACAACCACCTGTAACTGAGGCAAGGATCCTTCTCTTATTATAGAGAATGATTAGTTATAGTCTAGAATTGCCTGTCTGTAATTCTGAACTCAAAAATTCACCTTGGACTGTCACTCCACGTGTGATTTTCTGTGAACGAAAATGGGATTTCTATCTTCAGCATTTAAAACCTCAAAAATGGAAAAAAAAATTAGCCAAGCATTTGGGAAATAGAAAACCGAAAATGTAAAGGATCATACAGGCATAAAGTATGACAAGTGTAAAAATTCCTTGAATAGCTCCTGATGACACCTTCTTGTGTCTGAAAAACCAATATGCATAAACAGAGCTACTGTTTCTTGTTGCAGATCTGTGAACTGTCAAAAAAAGACTATTAGTCCCATGTAAGATCAATTGCTTTATTCATGGTAGACAAAAGCTTATGTGATCAGAAGAAAGTGGCTTATTAGGACATGTACTAGTGATAAGGGGAAAAAGATGAGCTTACTCCATCCGTAGCAGTATTACTGAATGCTCATATAAAGCATTCATAAAACTGTGTTCTTACTATCTTGTTCCATTCAGAGTTGGGTGGGATTTCCCTCCCCTAATACCAGCCATTTAAATGTTTAGCATCTAGGGTAAGTAACCAGACATAAATGAAATTAACTTCTCCCACATATTTGTGCAATCCTCACTTGTTTTACTGTTTCTCAGGTTTATTTTATCTTTATTTTTGTTCCTTTAGGTACAATCAACATCACAGATTACACCTTCAAAGAAAAAAGGGCAAACAGAAGAAATTCTGCCAACAGTAATATTACCACAGGGTATGTCTGAAGGATTAAAGCATTTGTCTGTAGGTGTTCACTCTGTCATACCATTCATTCATCTGACAGCACAAATCCATGAAATTATTTACTCAGTAAGCTGAAGATGTGATTTGTGTTGTGGGAGTAGTCTCTTGGTGAATACATTGTGAAAGTCTCTGGAAACTGTAGTGGTGATAATTAAGTCCTTTAGAAAATAATTATGTCTGTTTCTAGTCACAGTCATATTTAAAAGCTCTACAGTAATGGACTTTGTTAGTCTTTTTAAGAAAAAATGTCTGAAGGCTGAACTGGTAATATAAATTGACATTTCTGAAGAAATTGATCTTTTATTATAACAGGGGAAGATTTTTTTTTGGCTCCTTTCGTGGAAATGAGGTATTACAATGACTTGCTGAGTCAGATTCCTGACGAATACTTTTCTGTACCCTTAATGCTGAACTGCATGTTGGAACAGGTGGGAATATTCTCTATAATTTCTGTGGCTAATTCGGCTTAGACCTGGTATGATGAATTGATCAAAGATCAATAAATCCATCTGTTTCAGCCTAAAATAAGAGACTCTGTATGGAGGCACTGATGAAGGAGATTCCAAAAAATAATTTTGGAATAATACTGTATATACAGGAAAAATGCTGCACTTTTCCTGTATATACAATGTTATACCAAAATTATTGTTTTGAGACTACAGATCCAGTATAATCAAATGAGGAAAAAGGTGTCATTCTTAGTTAAGTCAATAACAAGTTTCACGTCCTGCAATAATATTTTGATACTGAACTTCACTGTTTTACTTGATACAAAGGTCTTAAGGCAAGCCTAATATAAAAATGGCATAGACTGATGCTAGTGCTAGACAGATCTGACTTGTGTTGAGCTCAGGCACAATCTATGAATTAGCAGTCACCCACAGTACGATTTGGAATCCTCCTTCTTTCAGAAATAGAATTTCAGCACAATATTATTTTTTTACTTTTGGCAATTTAGTCTGAAAATAGACTCGGCAGAAATACTCAATATAAGATCTGACACCTGATACACAGTCAGTTTTTAATTATCTGTGTTCACCAGCAGTTCGTAGCATTGAAAATATTTTTCTACTCATCCTTCCAAAAGTGAATAATAGGAGAAAACATTTAATTCTGTTTTCCATAATTTTTGTTTTGGACAGGGAACTAACATGGAAATTGCATTTTTGCTACTTCTAGAAAAAAGTTATGGTTTTCTTTCCTGAAAAAATTTATGAATGTGTGTTTAGCTTATAGCAGGATCTGCTGGGTAGATTTTAATAGAGTTAAGCAGCAGTCATACTGTAATGAAAGCTAATGTATATCATGTTTGGCAGGTTATTGCAAGTGAAGAAAACCTTATACCTCCTAGTCTGGTGGTACCAGAGCCTCGGGCAGATGGGCTACATCACACCATTGCAGATCATATAGCCTCTGTCCTTCCTTCTCTTTCACTTTCTGAGAGTGAAAAAAAGGTTTGTGTTGTCTTTTTGTTCATTTCCTAAAATGACAAATAAATGTGATTTTGGGGGGTTTAATAAATCTTTCTTTTTTAACAGAATCTATATGACTACTTTTCTCCTGAATACAGTGAAAAAGAGACTGTCACTCCCAAGTATCCTCTGTTATTTAACTACCATGATACCCTGGCTCAGCGGTTGCACCTGTTGAAGGTATAGTGCTACCTATTATATCTAAACAGTTCTTAAGTCCACAGGCAATGAATACTCAGTGCACTAGAAAGGATGGAGTGGTATTTCTACAAAGCAGAACAGTATAGCCTAGTTTTTTTCCTACTGAGATAGACACGCAAACATGTGGTTAGTCTGCTTAAGAAGCAGTGAGTTACTGCTGCTGACAGAGGACACATCACAAACAGAGCATTATATTGATTTCAGTGATCTGTTTGCATTATTAAGAAGAATGTTTAGCCTTTGGCATAGATGAGAGATATTACAGAACCCTGATTTACTGTAGTCAAACACTGTTGTAAAACTGGAAAAGGAGTTACTAACTTGATAACAGTGATTTAGCATGTAGACTAGATTAAATACTAAGATGCAGAGAAGTGTAAGAAAATACAGAGAGGCTTTTAGCTAACACAAGAAGTATATTTGGGTTGGCTAAATAGTTGGAGCATAGTGTATAACCAAGACACTGCCAAATTTTGACAAAGGCAGAAAGGTTCAGAGACTGCAAGGTTTGGGGTTATTGCAAAGTCACAGTTCCCAGACTTTCTGAACTGAAAGACCACTGTGAATTTCTTAGATTTTTTCCAAAGCCAAGATATAGTTTTACCACTGAACTTTGAAAATACTCTGAAGGCAATATAAGTGATAATACAGTTTTAGATTTCACAGCTAAGGTGTGTCTGCCTGGCTTCATGAATTATGATTTGTCTGTGGAATACTTTGACAACCATTGATTAAAACAGCATTCAGAAACAAAATGAACTTGACACATTGGAGGTATTTGAGCACAAGACAGGACTGAGCAATCACTGAAATGCTCTTAGCAGGCATATGCTTGATGTATATGATGTACTTGCTGAAGAGGAAATGCAGTGTATAGTACAATATTTGAGGAATGGATAGAGGAAAAAAAATTCTAAGATGAGGTCCAAGAAAAAGGTACTGTAAGTGAGTAATACTAAAAAGAGCTGTTGTGGTTTAAGCGCAGAGGGCAACTGAGCACGATGAAGCTGCTCATTTGTTCCTTCCCCATCAGGAATAGGGAGGAGAAAATAAAGCAAAAGTCTTGGGAATGGAGAGAAGGACAGGGAGGGATGACTCAACAGGTATGGTCACAGATGAAAGACCAACTCCATAGGGGAAGAAAAAGAACATCAAAATAATTTGAACACCACCAGCACCAATGCTTCATTTACCGATCAGAGTGAGACATTGAGAAATACTCCCACATATTAAAAACACCTTCCTCCCACCCCTCCCTTCTTCCTGGGCTCAGCTTTTTCCCTGTTTCTCTACCTTCTCTCCCCCCCACCCCAGGGCGAGCAGGGAATGAGGGTTGTGATAAGTTCATCACTCATTGTTTCTGCTGCTCCTTCCTCCTTAGGGGGAGGACTTCTCACACTCTTCCCCTGCTCGAACATGGGGTCCCTCCCATGGGAGACAGTCCTGCATGAACTTTCTTCTACATGGGTCCTTCCCACAGGCTGCAGCTCTTCACAAACATCTCTAGTGTGGATCCCTGCCACATGTTTCAATCCTCCCAGCAACAAACTGCACCAGCGCGGGCTTCCCTCAGAGTCCTGGCTTTCTTTGGGTGCAGCCACCTGATCTGGCATCGAGTGCTCCAAGGACTGCAGGGGGGCATCTGCTCCACCAGTGACCTCCATAGGTGCAGGGGCACAGCCAGCCCTTCACCAGGGGCTGCAGGGGGGGGGTCTCCGCTCCAGTGCATTTCCCCCACCTTCTCCTTTCTTCCACTGACCTTGGTGTTTGCAGAAGTATTGCCCTCACCCCTCAACCTAGGTTCCCCTTCTTAAATACATTATCACAGAAGTGCAGCCACCATCATTAATTGGCTCAGCCTTGGCCAGCAGTGAGTCAGACTTGGACCTGGGGGAGCTTTGAGAAGCTTCTTGCAGGGGCCACCTCTGTAGCCCCCTCCCCTGCTACCAAAAACCCCATCACACAAACCCAGCAGAAGAGCAAATCTGAAAAATACCAATAAGTCTCAAAGATAAATCCTTAAATATATAGGGATGCTGCTGGCACAGACTGATCAATGAGTTTACAGGCGTCATTACTATGAGAAGTAGCACAGACCAGCTAAAAGATGCATGGAAGGTACCTACTGCCTGTCTGAGTAGATCAGTACATGTTTTTGCATTACAGAATTTTTGAATCAAGCTAGCACAGGCACGTATCTTCTAACAAGTGTCTGTTGTTATGCTGTCAGTTATTCTCTTATGGATATGATTTATTCTTTTTCTGCCTAAAATATCTGACACCATCATTCAAAAACACACTGTGGGCACATGCTCAAATTTAAGTTTATATCCAGCTGACTTAAGCACATGGTTATGTCTTTTGCTATAAAAAAACCTCCTTTATTCAGACATAATTTTTAGAAATCTACTGGTGTGAAAGTTTACTTTGGTACTTTCATTTTTGTTCCAGGTCCAGGAGAACTTAAATCCAGAAAAGATTGAATGTGAAATGATGGATAAGCTGCCTCTTAGAGAACTTATCCATTTCACCTTTCCTTTAACTGAAAACAATGCTAAATGCTTGGCCAGAGTTCATGAGCTCATGCATTATTGTACCAGTGGTAAAGTGATTTTCATTTATATCAGTTCCATTTTTTTTTTTCTTGTGGTTGATGATCCTATTAAAGAGAAGTGTTTTTCGGACCAGTTTTTCCAGCTGCCTAAAACCTTTTCAGAATTTCCCATTTTCACATTCTTGCTTATACCTTTAGCCTACTATACAAGTTAGGGTTAACTTTAGACCTCAGTTTTATAGTTAATGGGAAAGGCTATACAAGTATTAAATATTGCATGACTAAGAGCTGGAAGTATGTTAGAACTCATTTATTTATTTATATTCATAAACATACAAACACAAAATCTGAAAAAAAAAATAGTTGTACAAATTGTTATTTTGATCCTAGGTTGCAGAATGCATTTTAGGAGACACTGATACAGACTGTATGTTTATTTACCAACAGTGTTTTGGTGGAGGAGCACATGGAAGATTTTTATTGGACAATAAATGGCTTTCAGAATGTATTCTGTGTAAGCTGTCAGTGTTAGTAATGAAATGGCTTCTATAATAGTCCCTTTATCAAACCAAGAATACATTCACTTCTTCAACCATAATCACTTCTACGGTTACCTTTTCTTGGAGTGTGCATACTACCATGACATACACTGTGAAACAATTCCAAAAGCTAAATAAATACCCTTAGGTAGTTTTGGAAGTTTACTCTAGACTGCTGAAAAATACAAATATCCAAATCCCTTTGGTTATATTATACCATCATATAAGGCACAGAATTTGAAAGTACTTTCCTTTTCAGTCCTGAAATTCCATGTACTGGATTAATTTACACTCACTGCATTGTTTCTAGTTGTTGGTATGTTCATTTTGGACACTAAGCTATTAAGGTATCCTGTATTGCTGGAGAATTCCAGCTGATGGGTATCAAATTTGATGGTCTTCACTGGACCATACTAAACTATCAAACTCTCCCAACTGTTAACTTAGCTAGCAATGTCTTCACTTTTATCAAGAAGGTGATTCATTTGAACAGGAGATGAGAGATACAACATTTTCAAGATGGGTGACATGCTTGGGTCTTTAACTACTGTAGAGAGAATACATTTCAAGATACTCTTTATATGATTTGGGCACTGAACTACCTGTTTAAAAATCAGTCCTTGTTGTGATTATCATTGTTATGTGGATACCAATGCACACAACCATAAAGAGGATCTATTAATGCCTTTGCACCTTGTGTACTTCTGTGTAAATTTCTTGTAAAATTTTGTCTGAAGAGAAAAAAAAACATTTGATACTTGGTTTGAGAAGCTACAGATAGTAAAAATGTTTATGATAATGAAAGCCTTTTCAAAAACTGGAAATAACTACTTAACTGGCTTGATAAAGTCCACTCAGTATTTTAAGATCAGTATCATTTATATAAAGTTAATGAGCCAGGAGGTATTCAGATGTAGGAAGCACTTCATTTAAACTGGATTAATAGTTAGGCATATCACTTTGCAATTTAGAAGCATTTGACTTTGAAGCTCACATAATTTGATCCAGTACCATTAAGGAAATTGTTGTTGGCTTTTGCGGAGTTGCCAAGAACAATACACTTGCATAGTCTTCTATTTATCTTCTGGTGAGCTGTAAGGACACTTTCAGTTAATGACTGTAATTCTTTTATAGAATTTCTGAGCTGGACTGAAGTAGAAAGAGCCTTCAGAGTGTTTACTTTTGAAAGCCTGAGGCTGACTGGGCTGAGTGACTCTGGTCTCCTGCAGAGCTCTGGATCTATGGTTGAAGGCGATTCTGAAGTGTCTTCTATCCCTTGGGATAATCCAACCAAGTTTGCAAGACAGCTGAGACAACTCTTCCTTATGGAAAAGAAGCTTAAGAGGAAATCTCCAAGAGGCTCTGGTAAAAACCTCTCTATTTACATTGCTCCTGAAGAATTTGTGTCCACTATTTATGTTACCATATAGCATTTGCTATTGCAGGGCTGTGATTTTTCTTCCTTCTACAAATAACTGAATTTTCAAGTATTGTAAAGTCTGTTCATTAAGTATCTTTGTAGAAATACTAGATAAAGACAAAGGCTAGCTATTTTGTATGACAACATGAATAGTTTATTTAAGCAACTTTTTAAAATATCTGTTTTATTGCTTCTGACATCAAATATATTGTATAGGTATAAATTACTGCAGACGTGATTCGATATGTTTCTGAATACAGGCTCTTTTGAGTTACTGATGGCAGATGAATCTTTACAAAGCCAGTAGAAACCATAGAGTGAAATCAAAAGTGATATTAGATGATCACCAGTTAATGGTTGCATCCTGGCTTGCATCAACAAGAGCATGGCCAGCAGGGACAGGGAAGGGATCTTATCCCTGGACTTGGCACTGGTGAGGCTGCACCTTGATTACTGGGTTCAATTTTGGGCCCCTCACTCCAAAAAGGCCACTGAATGACTCGAGTATGTCCAGAGAAGAGCAACAGAGCTGGTGCAGGGTCTGGAGCACAGGTCTGATGGGGAGCAGCTGAGGGAACTGGGGGGGTTTAGTCTGGAGAAGAGGAGGCTGAGGGGAGACCTCATGGCCCTCTACAGCTCCCTGACAGGAGGGTGCAGAGAGGGGGGATGAGTCTCTTGAGCCAAGGAACCAGCGCCAGACCAAGAGGGAATGGCCTCAAGCTGTGCCAGGGCAGGGTCAGACTGGCTCTTAGGAAGTATTTCTTTGCAGAAGGGGTTGTTGGGTGTTGGAATGGGCTGCCCAGGGCAGGGGGGGAGTCCCCATCCCTGGAGGGGTTGAAGAGTCGGGTTGACCCAGCGCTGAGGGATCTGGTGGAGTTGGGAATGGTCAGGGTGAGGTTAACGGTTGGACTGGATGATCTTCAAGGTCTTTTCCAACCTAGACGATTCTGTGAATGAGTATTAGGAAATGCAAAAAAATACATATTTTACACAAGGACTCTAGAAGGTGATATAAAAAGCTGAAGATTAAAAACTGGTGTGCTATACATTGTAATTACACGTGCGTACGTACCTTTTCCTCTTACAGTTTTTTCTTTCAGGCTTCCCTCAACTTTCACATCCAGGTTAATCCAGTTTTAGAGTTTTGAATTTAAAATTTTGGGCCAAATTCAGAAGTAACAGGGAAAGAGGAACTTATCTATTAGGTGCTGAAGAAAGTGAGATGAATGAAAAGAAATCAGAGTAAGGCAAACATAGTAAAACTGATGTCATAAGGTAAAAGTTTAAACATCCAGTTTTTATAGTCACATTAGACTCTGTATTTGGCCAGAAATATGTGAAAACCCTCAAGTTAAAATCATAAAGAATGTCTGAGCTATGTTCCAACTTCATCAGCTTCTCTTAATTCATTCCAGCCTGTGCAATTAATATATCTTTAGCAGGTTACTATGTGGCATTTGAGCCATTTATAACAATCTCATTCATATTAGAATGGGAACATTTTAGAGAGCAGGAACAGAGAATGGAGAAGACCTCTTGTAGACAATGCAGAGTGACTTTTCTGAAACTTCTGCATTTTGTCCTGAAGTTTCTAACATAATGCAAAGGTGTTGCCCTGGTTAAAGGAGGTTGGCCAAGAAGCAACATTAAAAACATGATTATTTTTCTGGGATGCAAGAAAAGTAGAAATTAGGTCAATTTAAGCAGCTATACCTTTAGGTTCATGATTTTGCCCATGCTTTCATAATATAGATATCTAGACAACCAGCTTAGATGGGATCCTTTCCTTAGAAGGTTGTAACAGACAAAAATGTACCCTGCTTATCTGCCTCTCCTGAATTTTGGGTGTTACATTATTTTACTTCATAATAGTCACAGTACTAGATATTGCAGTTACAAGCATAGCCATCAAGATACCAAAGCTTCTGCACCACAAAAGCAGATACCAGGAAGAGAAAACATTTGCTTTCAGATTTCTTAAGTCTTCTCAAGGCAGTCAGTAAACAGGTCTAATATCCTAGAGAAGCAGGGTTCTGTTTTCTCCAGGAAGTGTATTTTTCTTGTACATGTGAATTTTGATCAAACATTAGTGATCTGTGCCTTAACTCAGGTCATAAAGAATTAAAATGAAATTATTTCAAAAAAATTATGAGAATAGAGATAAAGTCTCTATGTGATCCTGTTCATACCAGGTGCCCATTATAACAATGGAATGACTGGTAATATCCTCAGAAGTATTTTGTTAGTAGCTTAAAAAACTCTATAAATCTAATTAATTTCAAGTTTAAATCTTGTGTTTTTCAAAAATATGTGAGAACAGTTGATTTTGCCTTCTTTTTTAATGCCATCTCTGCAAAGGAATGCTTGTTGTTTGTTAGTATGCAGATAAAAAGGTTCTTTGTGTATAAATGTGGAGGACACTTAGAGTATTTTTAATGGTTTTGACAATGCAAGGCCAGCATAGGACAGATAAAGAGGGTGAGTTGAGTGAGTCTTACAAAGCGACGTTTTTGGTGGGTTTTTTTTAAATTATTTGACTGTCTGACACTTACTCTCCCCTGGATTTTAAAGTGTTCTTTTACGAAATAAGTATAGAAGAGCTGATCATGTATTTATAGCACTAGTGTCATAAAAGGAAGCTTCAACTTGATGGCAATCTCATCAGGGAGGCTAAGGAAATTGCATCACTCCAACCTTAGTGTTTAGGGCTGAAATTTCTGGAACACTCCTTAAAATTCTGCTTTCAATTTCCAGGATATACAGAAGTGAATAGCAAAGGTGGAAGAGATGGTCTGGCCAATGCTGTTTTGAATGAAGAATTGGATCTTATTTCTGATATGACAAATGTGAGGAATAGAATAAACTGTGCTCTATGACATGAAACAACAGAAGATATTGTTCAAAATACTGTTACCGGGGATTCCTTTGAAGTGCTGCGTGCACGTGTTAATTTTGTGGTGTTTGGCAAATAGCACCATAACTTTTAAGCACTATGAAATCACTTTCTTTGAGTTCTAAGGTGATGGGTCTTGGTGATGCTACTAATGACAATTCTATTCTGGTTTCACTGAATACCAGGGGCCTAATATTAGCATGAGAGTTTGAGAGAAATTGCCAAACTGTGTCACACTAATAAACTGTGTAGTTTGGCATCTTGAAAAACACCTGACTGCCATACAATCCTGGATAAATATAGCAATTTTTAAATTACTTCACAGGACATGTTTAAAAATTCATAATTGCTTACAGAATTCAAAAACATCTAACCTAATAATAAAAATATTTAGATTGTTTGCCATAAAAAAGCCAAGACCAAAAACCTTTGGGAGTAATTGTGTTTTTTATTAAATAGTGCCATACGGGTCTACACATGTGCAGCATTATGCAATTAAGTGTGATGCAATTAAGTGTGGTGCAACATGGGATGCTGTCTATTAAGTCAACAAGATTACAGTTAATTTAATACAACTGACATTAAAATGTTGATACTCATTATTTTGTTTTGGTGTATTTTTTGAGGTGAGTCTGGAAAATTATGGCCTAGGACCAAACTTGGAAGAAGAAATAAAAAAGACACAGAGGCGTTGTTTGACAGACTGGAGTTTTGCTGAGCATTTTCAACCCCATGTTCTTCTTCAGGTATCTCTGAATGACAATATTAGACATACAGGTACCCCTCAGAATGCTGTACAGAGAATTAGTAGCAGAGTACAGGGTATTTTCTTGCTAGATAATTGATTCCATTGTATCCCTTTTACATTTCTACCAAAACCCATTGTTCTTCATCTGCTTTTCAGTTTCTTGTATGAAATTTAATTGGTAATGGGTTTTTATTTCTTGGTTTGGCCAAACTGCAGCTGTCGGTTTTTGTAGTGAGTCTTTTAGCTAAATGTGTGATGTGGACAAAATAATCTTGCCCTTTTGGGGTGATCTTCCCTGGCAATTATGGGACTTATTAGTGCAGTGTATGTGAAAGCATGCTTTGCCAATACCTATGCAGTATATATTTTATGGGCAAATAGAAAATTTTCTTGTAGTAGTACTTCACCATTTCAGGGCTACGTGCTTCATTTATAGATATATCGCAACCTAAATCTTGCAGCAAGACAGAATGACAAATGGGAAATAAATTCCCATTTGTTAATAGACATTAAGAAATTCCCGTTGTGTTGATAGACATTATCTTGGGAGGAATGGATTATTGGTTCTTCTGCTGCCTTGAGCTTCATATACTACAATTTTTATTTGATCCTGACACACACTGTACATGGGTGAAGGAAAGGCTGCTTGGACTTTTATCAGTATCACAGCTTCAAAGTCTGGTCATACGTGTCGGTACATGGCGAATTCCTTCTTAGGCAATATAAAAAACCAATACTGACCTGTCAATAATTATCAAATCTAGTCAGAAGATACTGATGGAAAATAACTGCAACAGAAAATAACATTTTCTAAGAATATTTCCTTATACTTCATGTGATGTCTAAGCATAATTTTTAGACCAGCTGCTGTTAATGTTTTTTGTTTAAAGAGAATATTTGTTGATACAGAATTATTTTAGTTGTACTTCAGTTACATAGTTCTGTATAAATAATAGTTTAGAAGAAGATTTTCTTCTAGCTATAAAATAAGTTTCAGCCTGAAGACAATGTAAACATTGAAAATGATGAGGCAGTATAGAACAGAGTGGAATCATGTGAAACATAGTAAATCTCAAAGATGCACAGGTCATAGTATAGCAAATTGAATACCATATAAACTGAACTGAGATTAAAAAAAAAAAATATTTGCTTTCTTTTTACCTGGTATATGGTAGTTCTGATTTTATTTACTATTTATTTATTTAAATACTTGTTTAAGTATTTAATATTTAAATTTATGTATTTATTATTTAGCTGAACTTTTTCATTTATGGTCAGTCTGCAAAGGTGGAGCATAGTGACTACCTCTTCTGCATATGGTAGCAGTGGAGTTTAAATTTCCACCTTCCTGAACATTTCAGATTACTGGAATCCAAATGCTTTGCGTACGTCTTGCAAAAGGGTGAAGTTCTGAAGGACCTTTTGCTGAAAGCTGTGTTGTGTAGCATCTGTATATATGCTGCTGTCTGCAGGGAGGATGTACCTTTATTTCTTTCCTTTTCAGGTTCTTCATACTGCATCCCAAGAATATAGATGTATTGATTCCTTTCATCATACCCAAGATAATTCTTTGCTAATGGTTCTTCACAATCCTATGAATCCGTATCGTTTATGCCAAGAGACTTGGGATATTGCATTGCACTCTAATGTTGGATTCAGGTAATTAATTTTTATCTTTCATGTCTCATTCACAGTCATTTTCAATTAAAGTCTGGATGGCTATACTTGGGGCAAAGCTTTGAAAATAAAAAATATTGCAGTGTAACACATTTATGAGAAAGCAAGTCATGCAGGTGGAAACAGTGCTATATCAGAAGAATTCTGTTGAGACGAAGCTTTTCTGACTAAGAACCATGCAGTAACTGTATGTGACTCCATATTGCAAACTATAAAAATATATATAATGCACACACAAAGTTATATTAGGATATCCGGAGCAAGGAAATTACACTGAGGACACATAGGTGAGGGAGGTTAAAAAGAAAATTCTAAGAATATACTTATGTTTTTCAACTATGTGTCTATAAATTGGGTGAGTGTCACCATGAAATGTTTTTGAGAAAAGCTAGAAGCCTTTTATTAATATTAATGATTTCACAGAATACCCCATTATTCTAATTTCTTGTCACTATCTGATCCCCAGTTGGAGTCATGTAAGTGGTCGATGTGTTCACTGTTAGAGATTTTGTCAGTGGACCTACTCATTTTTTAATACATTTTTGCACTGAAACAGTGATAAAAGTAATTGACCAAAAATAAAATGTGTCCATGTACTGATATGTAAAGAGGTTACAATGTCATGAAGAATCAGCTGGGCTGTCTTCAACCATGTAACTCTGGTGCTCTATGGATTAATTAGATTTGATTTATCAAATAGAATTTCAAGCAAATTACCCAATGGACACACCACCACCCCCCCCTAGTTTGTCCATAGGAATCTCTAAGTGCCATGCCTCATTTATCAGAATATGGGAATATTTTAATAGAGACTTCTGTTGGTACCTATATATTTGTACAGGTTTGAATGCTGAATAGGCAGTGTGCCTTCCTGAAGACATACTTCGTATTGTAAGTTGTATCTTTGCTCTCGGTCAAGGAACTCTGTGTGAGTCCATCTCAGCTTTCCAGGCACCTGGACTTAAATTATTTGCCATGAAAAGAGGCTGTTGTGTAATCTCAGAAGAGATTTACCAACAGAAACACAAAGTTCCTTGAAGAAAATGCTGTCTGTTTTGTGGTTGTTGGGCAAATCCGCTAAATATCTGGTCAATCATTTTTTTTTTCATGTATATGACAGTTGAAGTCTTCTCCAAAATACAGTGAAAGTTGGTGTGTTCAAGTAAGCCTGGGTCTTGCATTCAGATAGACCCAGGTAGAGCGTCAGTAGTCTCAAAATCTGTAAAACAAAAGTCTGTTGGAGCCCAAGAGCTGTTTACCTCACTAGCTATTCTTACTCTTTGGGGAATTGGACATTGATACCTGCAAAACAGAAGTTGCTAATTTTGCATCCAGAGAAGGAAAGAAAGATGTTCTCTGGTAGATGCATTATTTCAATTGAAGATGGTTTAACTATTTGCTTCCTCCTTCTTACTCTTCCACATACACTGGAAGCAAGGCTTAGAGATTAAAGATAGCTGCTTCTTGGGGCATGCCATCTTTGTTCAGTGACACTTTGTTGGGTTCTCTTTCAAAGCAGCAAGGAGTTCCTGAAGAAACTGTCATGAGAGCTAACAAGGAAGTTTGGCTTTGCTCTTGTTTCATAGAAATATCTCACTGCTGTGTATGCTACTTAATATCTTTGAAGAGATATGGGCTCTTATTTGGTTGTATTACATGGCCTCTGTACCTGTCTCTTCTCTGCAGATAATCAGCATATTTTCAGACCTTATTCAGCCTTTTTGCTAAAGATAATTTCAGATTTCCAGACAAAGTTTCATAAATATTTGCTAGTATATGTTTCCAAGCAACATAACACTCTAAGACAGTCTCTAAATACCTAGAGTGCTTCAAGCTGTTGCCTGCAATTACATTCCAGATCCTGCTGAGCTGCTAGAAACAGACAAAACCCTCCTTATTAATTAAGCAATAGTATTACTAGTTCTTACCTGTGTATCAAATAACTGCCTCCTCATGAGTTTAGTAACAATTTTTTTGTTTTCTTTTTATTAAAATTACTATAATTCTAATTTGAGGGGTATATTTAAGAGTCACGCTTTCACCACAGGAGAGTTACAAACACACAACAGACCCTGTGCTTGACTATCACTTTGTTAGGACTTGCTACTTCTTTATTGTGACATCTTAGAGACCACAGACCCGTTTTGTAGGGTTGTTCCATAGTTGCTGTCTGGAATATACTTCTGTTACATGTTAATCAATTCGTTTCAGTGGGTCCTGTTACAGGAAATTCTCATGCAAGGGGGAAATGAAATTTCTGATGTTGCAGCAGCTTTTGCTCCTGGAGATCCCAGTTACCCTTCCTTCCTTCTCTATGGATATCAGGTCCTGTAGTTCACGTAGAACATCCAGAAGTTCAGAAATTGTCTTGTTCAAAGGGTAGGGCATATAAAATCCAAAGGATGCTACTGACCAAGGGGATCCAAAGGCCTTGGGCACATGTACCTGCAGTGATACATGTGTATAAAACATTTCATCTCTGGTTAGATAAGTGGTCTCTCTATCAGGAAGCCAAATGTATTCAGACGTTATCAAAACTATTCTTCTGCTCAAAGTTAATCTTAATGACATTTCTTTACTGTTTCATAGTAAGCATATTACACAAGTTACTGGAAAAGAATAATCCTTTCTGAGAAATGATTCTGAGTCAGACATTGGAAGTAGTGACATCAGAATACATATTAATAGAATGTGTATTTTTGACTTTGAATGATTGTTTCATTGCCCTAAAATATTTTCCATGCGAATAATCTTTTTATTTATAACGTATATTCATCTTCAAGTTATTCCAGTACTGGCAACTCTAGGTTCCAGCCTGGTTTTGCCTTTTGTTTTCAACACCTTTGTTTTTATAGCTTGTACTCTTTTCTTCAGATACAAGCAGAGTCACCTTGTCCCTGCTGAGTATATGATCAGTACTTTATACAAGTTTCCCCAAGCAGTCTCCTCCTACGCTGCAGGAGCTGGGACAGATGTGTATCTTTAAGCTGTTCATGAACTGTATGCTTCTCCAGTCTGTGTAGATAGCCTACATATTAATTGTCTTGGACATAAAATGTAGTGCTGTGATAAGAACTTTAAACTGTCATGAGGTCAAGAATTGGTTGTGCCGCCTACATGTTCACCACAAAAAAATTGTAATGCATGCAGTTCATCTGTACAATCATCTTGGACTTATAAATACCAAACATTATGAACACACAACTGAATCTCATGCACTCTTTAAAAGCCCCTTTTAGTTGTGCCCATGGGAAGAATTTTACTTTAAACAATTACGGTAGTATTCAAAACAAGGAGTTGAGTGGCAACTGCACATAAGACTTCCAGACTTCATCCTACCTTAAAAGCAGTAGTTGTTTCAGACACCTTTGGAAGATGAGACAATGCAACTACTGATAACAGCTGCAAACTCTGGATCAGTTTGTCGTTCAGTGCCCACTTCAACTGTTAATTGTGAATATTCTTAATTTACACCAGGCTACATCCAATCTAGATTTGGATGACAATTTCCAAGCACCTTTCTTGTCACAGCAATGAAGAAGATCTAGAAATTAAATAGACTAACGCTTCCTCAGTTGCTGAACAAACAAATGAAATGTATTCTAAATGACAATATAGATCAAGAGCAACTAAGAAAATAAGTTATCCTAGTGGTAAAACAGTGAGGAGGAGGAGAATTAGTCTCAGCCTTTCTTAAATTGAATGTCTCTGTTTTCTGCCTTTCTGGATTTTCTTTGAGGGCAGGCATTCTTTGGAAGACAAGTTTCTAATATCCCTGCAGAAAGGAGGAGGAAAATCCCAAATGTAAGATATATTATGCAAATACCAGCCAGGCACAACTACCACCTCCTCTAAAAACTGAGCAAAATTGTTTCAAATGTAAGCCTTCTCTCAAAGGCTATAGAATATTTGTATAAGAAACTGAGAAGCCAAGTGATTTTGTTTGACCTCAAAACATGTTAGTGAAAACTGTATTATGGTAAATAGAGGAATGTCATGCTTTTCAGGAGCTATCTTGATCTGGTGGCCAACTCAGTTGAAGACTGGGTGAAAGGGGAGGAAGTCAAATACCAAGAAGAGAAGATGGCTAAGAAAATAGAATCTCTTAAACTAGAAAAAGCCATGGCAGAAGGACCTTTGGGATTGTCTGCATGTGCTGTCAAAACACCTGGCTTCCCTAAGAAAGCCAACAGTGGGTATCTTTTTGTTTTATCCCAGAAAATTAATTTTTCATGTTGAGTGCTGAGACCCAAAGTTGTTCAGAGAGAATTGCATGTATTTTTTCATCTGTACAGACATGTTTTGAAAATAAATACACCTGTTTACATATTCTGCATCATTCTCTGTCCTGAAAACTGAGACCTTTAATGTCAAATTACATTTACAATAGCTGTGTTTATTTAATGGAGTGACTTTAAGGATTGCATAAAAATATGAGTCTGTTTAGATGACTGAACACATGAAATGATGAGCTGTAGTTGAAGTTGGCAACACGGTTCAGGAAAATTCCTTTTAAAAGGGCAGGATAAAAGCTGGAAGTCAGCAGCTGTGAGCTAGAAGCTGAAACTGGAATTGACTAGACTGCAAAGCAAACTTTAATTACAAACAACACTTTGGATAATGAAAATTGTAAGCAGTTCATACAGTAACTGCTGAGCAGGCAGCAAAATCTGAAAAGCCCTTTTGAACAAGAGAGAACTACCTAAATTGTCTACTTGTATATTGAACAGTGGTTTGTTGATATATAGCCTTTGCTTTGCTCACCTTCTTTGAGAATGTGCTTTGAACCTTCATAGTATAATAACAATTAACATTTACAAAAGTAGGAATGTTATTCCTCAACCCACTTAACACTTTTGATTATAGTTTGGAAACCAAAAGGACAGTTACGATTTCTAAACATAATTTGTACCTATCTAGCTGTCACAGGAGCTAAATTGAGTCTTGCCCATCTGGTGCCTCATGACAGATATGATTCATAGAGAAGTTCACTTACTGAAAGTTAATAATCACCTGTGGCTGGGTCATGCAGATGGGCAACAACAGTATCTTTAGGTGATTTCAATTTCACTGGCACTTCTGTAACCCACACTGCAATTTTTACTTTTTAATACAAAGTAATGTAACTAGAAGTTTCTCATAGTGTATTTAAATTTACCTCTTCTAGCAGGTAAATACTGGATATCCAAGCACAATATAAAACCATGTACCTAGAGAGATACCCTTTTCATGAGTCATAGGTACTATAAAGCCCTAATAGTAAACAGGAGATATGATGTTTCTTCAGTGAAGGTTTGAAGACAGTGTTCACTTCGACTAGAAAGGTTGTAATATCTATGATTTTGGTATTAAGCTTGTTCTAGTGTTTGTGAGCTGCTTAAAGCACTGGGTCTGAATTCTGGAACAGTGGTAGTAACAAAAATAAAAAATACTGCTTATCATTTCTACAGCATTGCTCATCTGCATTAAAAAAAAAACGTTGCAGGAGCAAAACCTTCAATAGCAGGAAGCAGAGTCAGTCTTTAAAATGTTGATATATTGTTTAGCATATCTGGTCTGCAGTTATGACTAATATTAGTTGTCAGATAAATTTCTTCTAAGCTGAGCAGTGTTTCTGTTTTATCTCTAAAAATATTTAACATTTTCTTTATTCTACTTTTGTACTTTTACTATTTACAAATGGTTTTTGTTTACTTGCACTTATTTATAAATGAAGTAATTTTTAAAAATTAAAAAATACAAATAATCTCATTTATTCCCTTTTCATTTCTCAAAGGTGACACATCAAGACCTGAGAGCGTTACAGAGACTATTCCAGAATCTCAGTCCAACAATGAAGAAAATCCTTTTATCAGAGAAGGTTCTCTAAAGGTGAGACAAAAATCTCTGTGTTTTTGAAATGGACTAAATAACACTGTTTTCCCAGGAAGGTAAGCTTTTGTTCTTATGTAGACTTGACTCAGTCCTTTTAGTTTTTCTGCTCTTGGCTATTTTTTATATACTTTATTTCTTGTTTTCTTTAATTTATTCCCTATTGGTTCAGTTATGTTATTTTGTTAAGGAAAGACTGTTTGCAGTTAGACTAGGCATTCCATAAGCAATTCCTAACTGCAGTACTAGGAAACGAGTTATGGATAATATCCTACTTCTCATTGAAGATTGCTGGTTTTAAAGCTATGAAAACGTAAGATCCAGATTCAATGAAGTACTTATATACCCAACTCCTACTTTCATTATCTACATCTCTTTGAAATTAAGGCATGTAAATATGGTACCTCAGAGTTCTTATGACACAGAATCCCATTTTATAGTCATACACAACAGTCATACATGGTCATACACAACAGATGAATTGACTTGCCTAGGCTCACACAGTAAGTTCTGGCTGAGGTAGGAGTTAAGCAAATGTAAGATGTTAATTCTTAGCATTGGCACTATCCATTACATTGCATAAATCTAGCTTAATTGATGTTGTATTCCACTGCTTTTTTTCTACTCCTCACAGCCATAGTATGTCTCATCATTCTTATAGCATGTAATGTTCTACACTAGTAGTACTGATATTGGAATGTAGATATGAAATCATGTTAACTAATTCCTGGGTACTCAACTTGAGATGGCATGGCTCCAGTGAGGCTAATGCCTAACTTGTAACTGTCAGTGCTTACCATTTCTTCCACAGAAATGCTTGTGCTTTGGTATGCTTAGAATATAAAATGCTATAGAGGCCTAAATACTCTGGGAAATCTTGGATATGTCTTGTTGTCTTCCTGATAGAGGTTGGTAGTTCTGGCATTGATACCTTATTCCTCTTTCTGTAAAAGCATAAAATAATTTTATCTTACAGTTGCATTTTTAACTAATACCAGTGATGCATTCTGATTTGGTGATAAACATTGTGGAAAAGTGCACAACAAAATAATTATGACTGAACGTGTAAGATACAAATAATCATCCAGTATATCTCCTGTGGTCAAGAATGATCGATCCTGTGGATTGAATGAGTCAGTAATTTTATGCAAAACATAATGTGCAATATTGTAAAACTGTACATTTGGAGAATATGTAAGTGACTTAGAGTGACTTAGAACATTAGTTCCTTTGAGTTCATTTACTTGTACTCTTTTCAGCATGCACATATGAAATATCCTATAATACAAAGAGAACCACAGTCATTTGAATTCCTAACATTTAATGTAGGCTTGGAAGAAAGAGCAGGACCGATTACTAGAGGAAGCAAAACATAAGGAAGAAAAAAAAGGAAAAAAAGAAAACTTGGGAGGTAAAAAGAAAGGACAGGAGGTAATTGATGAAGAAAGTAAAGGTTCCAACAAGGAATCTTCCAAAGAGAAGTTTAAAGATGAGCCAGCAAAAGCCCCTGAACTTGAGGAGAATCCCAGCATCCCAGAACCACATTCTGAGAAAGTTTATAAGGTAAGGAGTCATATTACTGCACCATGTTAGGAAAGTGCTATTTATATAGAGAGTCAAGATCACAGCAAAGCTACTATCCATTGTGAAATTGGAGTTCAGGGCAAATTAAGCCTAAGTAGGTTTTGTTTAACTCCATCATTTTAGCAGCAGATCCTTTCCTAAAACTTTTGGAAAGCTATGATGTTTAAGGTTATCTCCTACACAAGACTACCACTTTACAATTAACTGGGATGGTTTTTATTGTATATGACATGAACACAAAGATAAGTTGATCATGGTTTTGTGCCCATAGAAAATATGTTTATGGGACGAATTTTGTCTAAAAGTGTGGTTTTCATGGGAGAGAATAGGAAATGGGAAAACAAAGACCTGTTCCAACTTCCATATTCAGAGACAGCTAGACCTAGTTGAGGTTTTTGCTGTCCACATTGGAAATCGAGCACTGTCTGTTCCATTTCCTGTTTCAAAATGCATGTTCTTGGAGTGCTCCTATACTAACAGGCAGAATACCTTGTATGAGAGAGGTATTTCTTACAGAGGGAACTCTTCACTAGTTGCATCCAAACAGTTTTTAAGCAGTTTGCATTGCTTTATATTTGCGGAGTCTAAGCCGTGCATGTGAAACTCGTCAATAGTCAATATATTTTAGTCCAAACTTACTTGAGTACAGACTTCAAACTCAGCTATATAATACTTCAGTCTAAACTTCAGTACACTCACCTAATCTTTGCCAGTTTGTAGCTCTTTGGAATGCAAATCAATCTGAGAATCAAGATTTGCAGTGTCTGAATTCCAAAATCTAGAGGGTGGAAATCTGAATCTTTATTTGCCCTTTATCTGATTGCATGCCATCACACGTTGTCCCTTTATAATTGGCCAGAATTTTTCTTTCCTTTCCATTATATGTTAAGCCACCAGTCTGCTTACTACTCTTCAGTTTCCATGATAGCTCCATACCACTGAAGGACCAGATTCTGCTCTTGTGTGAAACAAATTACTTCAGTTTATAACAGGAATTAATGGATATGAGAATAACATGCTATGTATTTGCTCAAGTTGTTATTGCATTAGTTAAATATCTAAGAAAAATGTTGCCAGGGACAGTGGGATTCTGAGGATCTGTACTTCATTTGCCTCTTTCCCTAGCTTCCGCCTTTCTCATTTATGCATAACCTAAAACTTTGTTTTTCCAGTTTCTTGGCTACAACACAGGGGAGGATCTCATTCATGTATCAGGAACCAATCAATATCTTTTCCCATCTGATGGAGGACAGATTCAAGTAGAGAAGATAGAGTTTGTAAAAGGTGATCCTTTAATTCTTTATGCTTTGCTTTGACTCAGTTACTAAGTGATGGCATAGTTAATCCATAAATGCTTTTTCATGTCTCAGTAGTAGAAATTCAGTTAAAGACATTGTGAGAGTATAATGTAATTCCATATTAGCCTCTATCACTACTAATGTTTACGTTTTCCTGTAGGTTAATAATTGATAAAGTACCAGAAAATTAGAAATGGAGAAAAATTAGCTTATATTTATCTGTTCAGTGGCAACCAGTGCATGGTATTTCAAGAATGCTTGTTCCGGTAATTTGTCCAGTCAAATGCAATACATCTAAGCAACAGGGTTATTCTGCAGCTTCTCAGATCTAGCTGTCATTAAGTTTTTGAACATTTAGTCTAAACTCAGCTAATCTTAATTTTGTTTTCTTGGTCTACTACTAAGCAATTCAGTCCACTTCTGAGTAATTTTCTTTTTTGTGTGCTTTATAGTTGTAGGTGCAGGGGGGTTTTTTTGGGTGGGGGCAGTTCTGAAGCCTGGTGGGAGGAATAATAGTGTTCTGTTGCTTTGCAGGTCTAACTTTGGTAAAGGTGAAAGTGATAAAAGACAACCACAATTTCTTCATTCATATCACAGACCCCAAGAAAAACTTAAAAGAAATTGAAGTGCATGCAATCAATGAAGAACAGAAAATTAGATCAGGTGGGTGGATTGACATCACTGATATAAAGAATTAATAGTTTGACATATTTAGTAAATGGATGCAAATCTTATCAACTAAAATAAATTCCTACTACTGGCAGAGGGTAAATCAGATCAGTGTTCTTTAAATAGAAGTAAAAATCCAGTTGGCTGACTTAGGCACCATGTAGAGAGATCTTACCAAGATGTAGAAGCACAGTACAGGTCAACAAGTACAAACCAGTCTCTTTTTCAAAGCAAGGAAATCAATGAAAAGGTCATCGTTCCTTAAGAAAATAATTTTCTTCTTTAGTGGAGGACTCCTTCAGATCTTAATGTGTCCTGGGAAAGCTGGAGAAGCTGCAAACTGAATCATGTCGATTGTGACTAGAATAAATGTCTGCCCTTCAAAGGGAAGATATCCCCCTTTCAACTGGACCTTCTTTTGTGTGTCAGATGACCATAGCATTAGTGCCTCCTCAAGACCTTTGCTGTGGATACAGATCTTTCTGCACTTTGGCAGCTTCTAATGCTGGTTGACATGCTGCTAACACTCAGAAAGCATTGAATCCAAATTCTTTCTGAACCCAGATGAGGGTGTTTCCAAGAAGGAATACAGTCTGTAACAATTTGTGTGTATGTTGCCAAAAGCACTATGGAATTGCTCTCACTGAAGTGTTGTAAAAGTATAACTTTTGGTAGTTGTGTTAGCTCTTTTAATCTTCATCAGTGTTTGAAAGCATCCTGCCCTTGTTTCTCTCCTTGGCTTCAGCTGCCACTAGTGATTTAATTGTAGGTTGTCTGAATAGAAAATTTGCAGCCTTTCCACAGATGAGATGTTTCTTGTCTGCACTTCTGAAGGTAGACATGTATCAGGGAAAATCCTGCCTGACAAATTTGCTGGCCTTTTATGATGGAGTGAGAGCATCAATAGATAAGGGAAGAGCAACTGATGTCATTTACCTGGACTTATGCAAGGCCTTTGACACTGTCCTGCATGACATCCTGGTCTCCAGGCTGGAAAGACAGATTTGATGGATGGACCACTCGGGGGATAAGGAATTGGTTGGAAGGCTGCACTCAAAGGTTGGCTCAATGTGGTCAATGGTTCAGTGTCCAAGTGGAGACCGATGACAAGTGGTGTCCCTCAAGGATCGGTACTGGGACCGGTACTGTTTAATATCTTTGGTGATATGGATAGTGGGATGGAATGCATCCTCAGCAAGTTTGCCGATGAAGTCAAGCTGTGTGGTGTGGTTGACACACTGGAGAGAAGGGATGGGCCATCCAGAGGGACCCAGACAGGCTGGAGAGGTGGGCCCAGGCCAACTTCATGGAGCTCAACAAGGCCAAGTGTAAGGTCCTGCACATGGGCTGGGGCAGTCCCAAGCACAAACACAGGCTGGGTGATGAGTGGGTTGAGAACAGTTCTGGGGAGAAGGACTTGGGCATGTTAGTGAATAAGATCAACATGAGCCAACAGTGTGCATTTGCAACCCAAAAAGCCAACCAGATTCTGGGCTGCATCAAAAGAAGTGTGGTCAGTAGGTCAAAGGAGGTGATTCTGCCCCTCTGCTCTCATGAGACCCCACCTGGAATACTGGGTCCAGCTCTGGAGCCCTCGACACAAGAAGGATATAGAGCTATTAGAACAAGTCCAGAGGAGGGCTACCAAGATGGTCAGAGGGCTGGAACACCTCTCCTTTGAGGACAGGCTTAGAGAGTTGAGCTTGTTCAACCTGGAAAAGAGAAGGCTCCGGGGAGTCTGGCACCTGAAGGGCACCTACAAGAAGGCTGGGGGGGACTTTTTACAAGGGACTGTAATGATAGGGTAGGGGGTAATGGATAGAAGCTGAGGGAGGGGAGGTTTAGACTAAATATAAGGAAAAAGTTTTTTACTGTGAGGGTGGTGAGACACTGGAACAGGTTGCCCAAGGTGGCTATGGATGCTCCATCCCTGGAGTGTTCAGAGCCATGTTGGATGGAGCCTTGAGCAACCTGATCTAGTGGGAGGTATCCCTGCCATAGCAGGGGGGTTGAGGTCCCTTCCAACCCAACCCATTCTATGGTTCTAGGGTCTTCCAGTTACTGGTGTGCTAGCACCTGAGGCAAGTTGTTTTCACAGCATGAGTGGGAGGCTTTCCTCCTGTGTGAACGGGAGTACCTTATATAAGGGCAGTAGGGAAGAGAAGAATCAATCTGCTCTAATACTTGGCAGTAGCTGAATGGCACAATGGTAAGCTTTTAATGCAGTCAAAAGGGCAAAACAGGATCCTGCAGATGGTAGTCATCATTGAACATTTCGGTGACAGACAGTAAATCGGAGCAGGTGAGGTCTCAGTATGTGTGCCTTGTTGATGAAAGAACTGGAAGATGGCTAGATGTTGGGTGCTAGCATTAACCACCTTTTGTAGTCTTCTCTGCTGCTCCTCACAGTTTTAAGAAGCAAGCTGTTCCCCATATTGGAAATCCCAAAGACTTTCTCTTACAAGCAGAACATTTCTTTAAGGCGGTATGAGTTGTACTCGAGGCAAGGTAGGATCCAGTGTCACTGTTTCAGAGGAGTTACCTTGCATAGCTCACATGGTTTTCAAGGAGGACGTACTCATCACATGACATCTTGTCCTGCACCTCTAAGTGAGCTTGTTTCATGATCCACTTCCACAAATGCCAAACATATCTTTGGATCTCATTTCTCAACTTCCTCCTTTCTTTTACTTTCTCCTCCAGGTATAGTACCTGTGACAATATCTGAGTGACTTGTATTAGCTCATAGGCCACATGTGATAGACATGAGCAGTTTAGCGTTCTTGTCAACCAAACAGGGAACAGAAGCAAGAATCCTTGACTCCAGAACTAGGTTCTTTTGCTGTTTAAATTCACAAACACTTTTCACTAGTTGTTGCTATTAAACCTGTTTTTTACACCTAGCTAATTAGAATGAAGTTTCTAGATGAAAAATCACAGCTATATTACACAAAACTGACTATTATATACTACTCCATGTATGGAATTATAAATTTTTCCCCATCCTATATTAATATGTTTTACAGATTAGTCATCCACATTGAGTTGCCACTGTTCACACCAGTTATTGGCTTGCAGGTCAGGTGGTTCTGGTATGTGTTGCTATCTTTAAAATTAATTCTATTTTTTTTTTTAAAGGAAAATTGAAAAATCAGAAGAAAGCTGTGAGCAAGTTTGGATCTTTTTCAGCCACCTTGGAAAATGGAATCCAGCTGTCTCTGAGTTATTATGGACCTACAGGGAAGACAGCAGGTAAAGTAAGCAAATAGAAGTGGATATTTGAGAACCATAAAGGGAATTTTTTCTTTTTTTTTTTTTTCTTCATACACTCCTTAACCCAATAATTTGTTGCATGCAATTCTGCCTTTCTCAGCAGCTGTGACTACATGGTGGAGAATTTTCAGCAAAGCTTGATGAGATTACATTGTCAAGAATATTCTATGATTCGGATTTCAAAATGGATGGAGGTCTCCATGCTTTTTTACTTACTGTGAAAACAGAATAGTGCAGGGAGAAACTTGCAAGTATTGTTATTAAGTAGCCCAGCAAAATCAGCCAATTAATGTGAGCCAAAGAAAATGTAATTTGCTGAGGACTCTTCTTAGTTTTCCAAGAAATATTTTTGTAAACTTATATGTGTGATTATGGAACTTTCATTTTACGTTAGGAGTTGGACTTTAGGTTACAATTGTGCAGACATAATGAGGGATTTCTCTCAACCTTTCAATAAACACATTCACCAACTGGAAGCAATTGCTTCACAAAACCACAGGGAAAATAGCGTCTGCTTTTACCAAGAGCTTTTTGTTTCCATTACATTTTGAAAGGCCACTGAAACCATCATACGGATAAAAGTGAAACCCTCCTCTGATCAGAAAATAATCCCAGTGGTTTTCAGCTCTTAAAATATGAAAACATTTAATTGAATGCATCTTGTGTGGACTGTGGTAAACCATTCAGCTATAACCTTAGTTTTAATTATTCAAATACATTTTATAAACTAATTACTAAAAAAACTTTTAAAATTTGGGCTAAGAGAGCATCCACAGTGTAACAGACTGTGAGAAGTTTTATTTTGGCATGAGACATATGTCTAATTAAACACCTACACGTCAGCTGTGATATTCAGGATTTTTCACCACATACCATAAGCATCCTATTCTACGTTAGAATAATCCTAGCCATGTTGAGCTTTATTTAGTGCAGCACTGCTGACTGGCATTCTTTGATTGTTTTCAGTTTTTTTATAATCACTTACTTATGGCTCATTCCCCTTGTGGGTGTTTGTATCGTAAGTGCTCAGAAAAATTCTGACCAGAAATATTCTGGTTTAGACTATTCTTGTATGACATCCATCCGTGATGTAGGATGGTATGCCATGTAATCCATAGTTTCTCTCCACTGATTGGTTAAATTGGGTGCGAATTACTCATTTTTCCTGCATTACTGACATAATTTTCTGGAGCCTAATTCTCATTTTTCTTATTTTTTTACCTCTTCCTTCTTCCTTTTAGGGAAGCTAAAATGACAAAAGGCCTCAGGCTGTTTGCCAGCTTTATACATCTTTTTTATTTCTTGGTTAAATGTTAGTATTTAAGTTCTGAATTATTATTTGTTTTCTGTAGCATGACCAAAATCTTAACTTCAGACCACCTTACAACCAGACTTAGAAGTAATCTACTCGTGGCTTTGAACCTGGCACTGCTTGAGCCCTTGCAGGGCTTTTGCTACTGGGTGTTACAGAACCTTTGCACTTGCTCTTTGTGCCTTGAGGAAATCATGAGAGTACAACTTGAAGTGCTAGAGATCTGTATGAGTGTTCAGGATGAAGGAAACCTTCCTTAATCTGACAGTCCTCTGGAATTTTGCATCTCTCAAGATTTCTGAAGACATTTTTCCTCAGTTTCACTCTTTTTTATTGTTGCCCTCAGACACTGTGTTCTCATTTTTCCGGGCAACCAAAGTAAAGGGACAGGTGAAATTTTCTTACGTGTCAAGAGCCTATAACAGCTTCTGTTCCTAAATTCAGCACTTAGAAAGTAGTGTCATCTGAAACTGAGCATGTTTCAATTCATAGCATGGGTAGCTGTGAAGGATAGCTCCCCTCACTGTATGGAAGAGCTTGCTTATATCCAGTTTGCAGTGTTCACATAGATATTTATACTCACCTGACAAGATGGCTTACATTCGTTAATGATTTTATTGGACAGTTGCCTCAGAATCCTTCATTTTGCCTATCCTACTTCTCTGTGGAGCACTAGCTCTTGCAAAGTTTATTAGTCAACTGTTTCTTCTCATTGTCCACCTGGAGATGGGTACTACTACTTGTTTATTCCACGGCCATGCTGTCTAATAAATGTGTATCAGAATGGACCCCATGGAGAATTTTAAACTTTCCTATTTTATATAATTACCTGAGAATTTATCTCTAGCATATTACAAGTTAAACAGATTTCTTCACCTTTCAAAATTCCAATAAGCTGTAGAAACCACACAACATAAATTTCAATACTTGAAAGCAGAGCCACCTAACAGAGCATCAGATTCTTATGCATCAGGCGCATATCAGCTAATGAAAATGGGGATTTCAAAAATCTTTGTGGTGATCTAAATTTTCCATTCAGGCTAAAGGTTATGGATATCTTCAGATATCTGTGCATTTACCTAAGGCTTGCACCAAGATAAAAACTGAGACTGAAGGCTTAAAAACTAAGGTGGAAGGCCTGTTATCCATTGACTCCTAAATAGGACTTTATCACCAGATGATCTAATAGTTTCTTCTAGCCTTAAATTCTTAAATTGTGGGTCACCTTTGTATAAATCCAGAATCATTTCTGGATGCAGACAGCCTTTCTAATACTTTAGAACTTTGTTTTTAAAGTGGCCTTTGCATTTTGTTATCTGCAAAGCTAAAACCATCTATGCCAAAACCTTTCAGGAAACAGCACTTAGGCCTACCTTTTATCTTTTTCAGAAAAAAATATGCTAACACTTCATCTGCATTACAGGAAATGCTATGATCTCAAACCAGAATGGTTCTATTAGCATGCTTCCAATGCATTTCATTCCTTCTTTGTTTCAATGTGATATGGCTTGGAGTCTGTCAATGAGTTATTTAACTTTCTTTCCTTGATGTATTGGTTTCACATTAAATAATACTGTTCATTGGAAGAAACAATTAAAATGTAATTTTACAAAAACAAAAAAAGGATTTTTGGAAGTCTTCCTAACAACATTCTTGAAATGACTGACTTGTTAAGCTTCCTACTTTGTAGAAATTACTAAGCAAATCCAGCTTGCTTCATTTATTTAAGAATTGGGAGAATCTTAGCAATCAGGTCATCAGAATCTTTCTGAATCGTTATAGCAAAACAAAGCTATGCAGTGCAATACTGTTGGAGTCAGTCCATGCTGGATCAGCCCATGATAAAGCATAACAACAGTGATAATTTCCGAGATACTAAACTCAAAATGTCTCCACCTACCTAAGTATTCTGAAGGTAAAAGAGAATTTTAAAAATCTGTATTTTCTATTTTTGAGAGGCAAGTGATAACCTGTGGGAAACAATAGTTTCAAGATGTCTTTTAGGCTGATGAGTATTCAGTCTGTGGAAAGATTCTCAAAATTTCATATATTCAGTCTCTCTATCTGAAATAATGAACTCCCCCACCAAGGTTGTTATTTGAAAGGTAAAATTCAGTATACAAAATCTTAAGAAATAAAATGTGGCCGTTTACATTTATGAAACCTAAATTCATTAAAAATATTGCTTTTCTCTTCCTTAGATGATGAAATAGATCCTGTTCTTTCAAGAATTCTGAACATCCCTTCTGTTCACATTCCGACTGTAATTTCTCCTGTTACATCAGCTTCAGGGAAAAAAGATAAGTCCATCAAACAAAAATCAGGAAAATCTCTATCATCTACAAAATCAACTCATAGCAAAATAGACCCTCCACCACCTGATGACCTGGTAGAGCAAAAAAATGGAGAGGTGAGAAAATAGACACTATCCAGTGAACACAGAAAAGAAACAAAAATCCAAATACATAAACTTACAGAAGAGAAGCATATATTATTCTCAGAGGACTCTGAGCTGTGCCTTAACAAATTCGTAACAATTTATGGTTCTTCCAGGATATGTTTTACTCTTCCAGTTGTTCTCAGATGTACATATTGGCAGCTGCTAATGAAGTTAGCCTTTACAACTCCATGTAGAGCAGTGTATCTTACATGGTCCACATACTTTTGTCAATTTTGGCTTTACAGTTACACCTGTTATATTATCACATATCTCAGTGACTCAAACTGCTCTAGAAATTAATTTTTAGTTTAACCAAGAGAACTTACAGAACCTGTATTGCCAAGTCTAACCAAGCAGTAAATTAGCAGAGACAATTTTGCAAAAGCTTGATCTGCAGTTTGGTCTTTCCAGCTGATCACGAGCCGGGGACCAGCCACTTGAGGAAGTTACTTTTGCCTATAACTGAAGTACTTCTATCACAGGATAGGTCTATGGGGATGGGATGACATTTCTGTTATGGAATACTTAGCACAGAGTAATACAGGAATTACAGGACCATGTGCCTCAGAAATGCACAGCATTTGATTTTGAATATAAGAAGCTTTTTGGCATTAAAACATGTGAGTGGGGGAGGCCCAGTTGGGTCACAGTTCCCCTCTGCAAAATGACTAACCTAGATTATTTCAGGTTGTTAGCAAACTATTGGCAGAATATTGTAGGTAAGCACAGGAGGTTTGTTTGGTCCAGTGATCTCACAGATCAGCCAGAGTATGAGTTAAATGAAAAGTTCTCAAAGAAATATGGAAGGAGATATTAGCAGGATGGTGGGAGAGGGTGCAGGAGTTTTCTATTTGAGATGATTTAACCTATTTTTTTGACACTGTTTTCTCTAACCAGCAGTGTCCTAGAAATTAATACAAATAAAATACAAAATTCTGAGACAAGGACAGAAATAAACATGAACAGTATTGAGAACCAATTTAGTTACCACCTTCAGTTTAGAAAAGGACAGTCTTCCGAAAATAGGCATAATCAGAACACAAAGCAATGAAGTCCATAAACAGTTTAACACTAATGTCTAAAATATACTGTCTGGGATAATTCTTTAATGATGGTTATGATAAAAAGCTATCCCTTTTAACCTGATCAAGTTACAAAATGGTATAATTTCTAGATAATGTGCTTGTTAAATGTGATTCTTGATATCTTTCCAGACTAACTACAAAAGTATTTAAAGCATGTAGTAGTGTGTTTTAATTTTCCCCCTACTTGGTCCCATCTTTAATCAAGTATGACTGAAATGATGCGAAAAGAACTGCTAATAGAATGTCCCAGTTCTCACCCTGAGCCAAAGTCCAATCTACTGCATATAATACTCTTCATGACCAATTTTCATTCCATTAACCCAGTCATTCCTCCATTTTATGTTCTGCTGCTTCTATAGACTGGTGGGGGATATGTAAAGAACATGAGTGGCACCAGGTCTACTATCTTTTCCTCCACTGTTTTGCTTTTGTCCTGTTCTTCAGAATTTCTCCATGGAAAATTAACAATAGTTCATCCAACTGTGGTGGCTTTCAATTCCAGAGGCATTTTGTGAGATTCTAGTTCACTACTTCTTACTATTTTTTTGTAGGGCATTGCCCTGAAAAGGTTCACCACCTCCTGGTCTGAAGATCTGAATGTTCCTTTTTCAGAACTTTTGTCGTGACTTAAGCCTCGAGGGAAACAACACCATGCAGCCACTCACTCACTCCTTCCCCCCACTGGTGGAATGGAGAGGAGAAAATATAACAAAAGGCTTGGGGATTGAGACAAGGATGTGGGGGATGAATCACTAATGGTCATAGGCAAAAGATAGACATGACTTGGGAAGAACCAACATTGGTTTAATTTGAACACCACCACCAATTTACTGATCAGAATAGGATAGTGAAAAATACATCTTAAACACCTTCACCCCATCCCTCCCTTCTTCCCATGCTAAGCTTTGTTCCTGGTTTCTCTACCTCCTCCCGTGCAGGGGTTGAGGGTTGCATTTGGTTCATCAGCTGTTGCCTCTGCTGCTCCTCACACACTTTCCCTCCTTCTGTGTGGGGTCCCTCCCATGGGAGACAGCCCTCCATGAACTTTCTCCTACATGGGTCCTTCCCACAGGCTGCAGCTCTTCACAAGCTGCTCCATCATGGGTCCCTGCCACATGTTTAAATCCTCCCAGTCATACTGCACCAGCATGGGCTTCCCTCAGAGTCCTGGCTTTCTTTGGATGCAGCCACCTGCTCTGGCATGGTGAACTCCACTGGCTGCAGTTTGGCATCTGCTCCACTGGTGACCTCCATGGGTGCAGGGGCACAGCCAGCCCCTCACAAGGCTGCAGGGGCGGTCTCTGCTTCAGTGCACTTCCCCTGCCGCCTCCTTTCTTCCACTGACCTCGGTGTTTGCAGAAGTATTGCCCTCACCCCTCCTCCCAGGTTCCTCTTCTTAAATACATTATCGCAGAGGTGCAGCCACCGCCACTAATTGGCTCAGCCTTGGCCAGCAGTGGGTCTTACTTGGAGCTGGGAGAGTTTTGAGAAGCTTCTCACAGGAGCCATCTCTGTAGTTTCCTCCCCTGCTACCAAAACCCCGCCACACCGAAATCCAATACAACTGTCTTGGAAAATTGGTCTTTTGTCTACTCTTGTTACTTTTGGCCACCTCTCCCAGAATCACTCTTGCTCTGCCCTCACCAGAGGCTTATAAGGTATCTTCTCAGTTTCCTTGGCAATAGAGATCACAATTCTTTTGACAGAACTGGGCTGAATCAAAGATGTAGAATGGGCAATATGGAAATGAAGGGTTAAATGCAGTGCAGGTTTATTAAACAGAAGATAGCTTACATTACAAAACAAATGAGAGAGTAATAAGACATACAAGATGAACACCTACTTAGAGTTGTAAGAATAGCCTTGGAACACTCTCTAAACACAACATACTTATGCTGCTTCCGTGGTACCTAGTGAATGAAGTAATGCTGTGGCTCTTGTTTCAACATGAATTCTATCCACGTCCAGAAAAAGTCCAGCTGACCTAATTTCAACAAGTTTAGGTATTTAAAGAACATAAGTATGGAAAGTGGTGTTAGAGAGTTGCCAAACAGCACTCAGCACAACATACAGCAATTGTTTGGCACAAATGAACCCTGGACAAACAAATACCCCCACCATTAAAGTTCTGTCAGGAGGACATTTGAGTTCATCCCCTTCTTCCAAAAGGATTTTTACTCTTTGGTTTAGAATGTCTTCAGACAGGGAGTATTCATATTAGTGCATACAGCAATCGGGTGTGTGAGTCTGCAAGTATTTTGGAGGACAGGATTAGACTCCAAAGTGACCTTGACAAGTCACATGGCCATGGTCTGTAAAATAGGATGCAATTCAGTAAGAATAAGAGCTAGGTTGTAAAATAACATATAAATAATCAATATGTATCTATAGAATGGTTAACAGTTATATCAATAACAGTTTTACAGAGAAAGGTCTGGGAGTTGCAACGGATAAAGCTATACGTAAGTCAACAATGCCATCTTGCTGTGAGAAGGGCAAAGACCACATTAAGGTGAACAAACAGGAGTGTAGCCTGCTAAATATGTGAAGTTATTTTCCATTCAGAACTGGTAGGGCCTCAGCTGAAGTACTGTGTCTAGTTATGGATACTGCACTGCAGGAAAAATATGTGCCATACTGAAGATTTTTAAGGAAAGCACCAAGAAATATCAGATGTCTAGAAAACTTGTCTGGTAGGGAAAGATTAAAAGACTTGGCTTGGGTTTGTTTGATGTAGAATTCAGAGGCAGAAACAGCCTTCTGTAGAGAGCTAAAGGGACACCATTATCTCTTATGCTAGCCCAAATAATGAGAAGTAAATTAATTTTCTGCAAGAGAAATTCAGGGTAACAGATAGGAAAATGTCAGTAAGGTTAATCAAGGTAAAGCACTGGAATAGATTGCCAGGAAACCTCCAGCCCTGAAAATTTTTAAAATAGGTGACATTAACAGTTTTCTCTAATGATATAGGCATACTTAATTTTTTATTTTTACCATTAGGCAGGGAGAAGTAGATGACAACTGAGGGTTACTTCTGCTGTTTTCTGTGACTTCTGCCTCAATCCTGTAACTGTGATCTTAGGGTACTGAGACTAGCCTTAATTACCTAGTAATACTATGTAAAGTAACCATAAAACATCCGTAGAACATCCTTTATGCTGAAAAACAGGTGGCAAAACATCTGCCAATTTTTCCTTACAGTTTATTCCTAAAAATCAAGAATATAGGGTAATACCAGGACAAGTTTTGTCTGTTATCTCTGTCTGCAACCCAAAACTGTTTTTGTCTTGTGACTGCAGGCATGGTATAGTTCATTGTCATGGTCGTAGTTTAAGCCAGCAGGCAGCTAAACACCACAGAGCTGCTTGCTCACTCCCTGCTCTCTGGCAGTGGGATGAGGGAGAGAATTGGGAAAAAAAAAGTCAAATTTGTGGTTGAGATAAAGATAGTTTAATTGAACAGAAAAGCAAGGGAAAATAATAGTAATAATAATGATAAAAGAATTAGAATATACAAAACAGGTGGTGCACAACACAATTTCTTGTCACCCACCAGTTCCCAAGCAGTGGACCCCAGCCAGCTCTCCCCCTGGTTTGTGTACTGAGCATGATGTCATACGGTGTGGAATGTGCCTTCAGCCAGTTTGGGTCAGCTGTCCTGGCTGTGTCTTCTCCCAGCTTCCTGTACACCCAGTCTACTCGCTGGTGGGGTGTTATGAGAAGCTGAAAAGTCCATAACACAATGTAAATGCTGCTTAGCAATAACTAAAACATTGGTATGTTATCAGTATTATTCTCATCTTAAATCCAAAACACAGCACTATACCAGGCTACTAGGAAGGAAATAACTACCCCAATCAGGACAGTCACATAGGTTTTGGGGGTATGACATCAAAGGGGCCAGTGCTGTATTTTTTCCAAGTGTTCCAGGGTCTTCAGACATTCCTTAGGTCAACCTAATCTTTTCTACTCACCAGAACAGTTTCCACTACAGAGCAGTGCAAAGAGGATTACATGTTTTGACTGTCAAACATTTCTTCTCATCCTCTTCTCAAGTCAGTGATGTATTTGCAGACTGGAAGTACTGCTTTACTTACCTTTGTGCTCTTTTAATGATTATAGGTAAAAAACCTGATGTGCAACTTCAATAATTATTTCATGCTTTTCTGCTTCATGTGATACATTTATTGTCATCTCATCTTGACATTGTGCACAAGATAGCATAAAAACTTAGTGAAATGAATAAAGTTGGGAAGGGTTGTTTTTCAAGGGTTAATAAAGAGGAATGAAATAAAATAGCATAATCGAAGATGATAAGCTAATGTTTCCATTTCGGAATCCATATACTCTCAAAATGTTAAAAATCAGTGGTAGAAAGCACTTTTTAAAAAAAGTTTTGTAGCAACTCAAATCTGTAGTCTATTTTTTTCTTTATTCTTTTAAAACATGGAATAAAACTAATTCATGTTTCATTCTGTAGGTGGAAATGGAGGAATCAGCTTTACAAACACAAGTGATGTCAGAAGCTCTCACTTTCCCAAGTTTGAATGTCTCCTGTCCCAATGGACTAGTATTAACTTTCCTTGGTGAAAATTTCAGAGGTTAGTTTTCTGAGCCACTGCAAAATAAGGAGTTTAAAAGCTAAAATTACAGAAGAAAATTATTTCTGCCTTGATGGGTTTAGATGTAACAGTATGAATTTTTTTAATGTCTCAGATTAAGTCTGTTGTAGTGTCTATTTAATATTTTCAACGCAACTAATATGTTTTAATTAAAACAAATATAAAATATAGAAGTTATTAGACATAACAGATTGGAGGCAGGGAAGCAGCAACCCTAAAAAGCACTTGGGAGTCATGTTGGATAATCAGTTGAATATGCATGCATATTGGAATGCTAAAGAAAAATGAACAAATTCAATTCATAAATGCATGTATATCGAGGAATCTTGAGTGATAACAGGAATGTTACGTTACTTATATCTGTACCTCCTTTGGAATGGTATGTATTGTTTGTAAATCCACAAGATGTTCATATTTTGAAAGAGTGACAAGAATGATCAAAGATTAGAAGGTGATTCTTACAGTGATCTCACGTCACCAGAGAACTCAATCCTAATAGTCAAAGAAAAGGCCAAAGGAGTGACTGGTGTCAGTCTGGAAGTACAAGGAAACAGAATTTTGGTGGTAGCTTGTAAACACAGCACACAAAAGTATTAGAAATTTCAGGGACTTGAAACTGAATAGTACTTTATACTAGATTTAAGTACTCATTTCTTTACTAATTTTTTAATGGTAAGAATGATTAACAAAACTAATCCATGCTTTGGTGGACTCTGTGCTACTGGGTATTTTACAATCAGGTTTTCTTGCCTTTCAAAAAGACACAATCAGTTTCAAACAGAAATTATTTCACATAAGTCCTTTGGTTTATGCCACCTAGTACATACAAAGAAAATGGTCATAATAAGCCTTTCTGCCCTTATTGTTTAATTTCCTTCAGAAGACAGTTAGGGTTAATAGATACTTCTAAGTTTCTGGTTTGATTTCTGTAATGATTCAGTTTCCCAGTGTTTTTGAAAACCAGCATGAGGTTCATCTTTGCATACTGTAAACTGTAGTAATTCTTAAGGTTTTGTAGTCATGCCATTAGGTTTTGAAGCAAACAAGTGTGAATATTGTTGTTGTCACCTGGTCAGTTTTAAAAACAGCCACCTATAAATGTCATTTAATACCTACGTACAACAAATCTGTCCAGTCTAGGCGGTACTGGAGATACTGAGCATGAGAAAATAGATCAGCACAACTGCAGAGATGCCCATATCCAGGAATAAACCAGATTTATCACACACCAATTATGTGCAAGCAGTAATTCCAACACATACTATGTGTGAGCTGTTGCATAAAACCCAGCAAAATCATTTGTCTTCCTGGCAACATATGAAACAACATACCTTTTAGAAACCAGCCAAGTGTATATAAATTAATAGAAAAAATATAAATTTGTATTAAATAGCATTAATAAATTTAGTATGGTACACAAGAATCCAGCATTTTTTTTTTTTTTTTTTTTTTTTTTGGCCACATAGACCTGAATTGCTAGTGAAAGATACACTCATTTTTTCTTCTCAGACATCTATTTACTTTTCATGACAAAATCATAGAATCATTGAACAACCTAGATTGAAGGGGACCTCAAAAGATCATCTGATCCAACCTTTTGTGGGAAAGGGAGCCTAGATGCGATTATCTAGAGCCTTGTCCAGTCACATCTTGAAAGCCTCCAGATGTGAGGTCTCTACCATGCTCCTGGGGAGGTTCCAGTAAATGATTGTTCTCACTGTAAAAAATTTATTTCTTCTATCAAGATGAAACCTCTCCCAGTTGTCCCTTGTCTTCTCCATGTGGCTTCTTGTGAAGAGAGATCTTCTGCCCTCTCTCTTAAAGCTGCCCTTTAAGTACTGGAATACTGTGATGAAGTTCCCTCTGAGCCTTCTCCAGGGAGAAGAGATTTAACTCCTGCAGTCTTTCCTCACAGGACAGGTTCTCCAGTCCTTCAGTCATCCCTGTGGCTCTCCTTTGGACCTTCTCCAGTCTGTCTGCATCTTTCTTGAATTGTGAGGTCCAGAACTGGACATGGTACTCCAAGTGTGGTTTCACAAGCACTGAGTGGTATGATCACATCTCTGTCTCTGTGGACATTTTGCCAGTTTAGGGTAAATGTACTCTGATCCTATCGGGTATGAAGTAAAGAGGATGCAGAGGGTTTTCAAATGTGTACATAGTTTGGCAGGTAGCTGATAGTTGAGGTGAACAGAGCAATTACGGACACATGTAGTCTGTTGACACAACTACCATAATTATACTCATTAGCACACTCAACACTGCCATAATTCAATATAAAAACCTTAGTTGTTCAAGTAGATAAAATATGTAACTTCAGTTTGTATAGAAACTCAAACTTGGTGAAACTCAGTAACTTTTTTCACCTGTATGGGCAGTTAGGAAATTCCTCTCACCTAATGTCAGTCTTCCAAAAGTTCAACATCCATAATAAATCCATCTTCAGATCTCCCTTATTTTTATTTGGAACGACAGACACCTCCACAGAAGGATGCAGACTTTCTGAGTAGATGACTGCTTTGAATTGTTCTTTGGAAAACAGAGTCTGTCTCTTACTCTGTGGATTATAGAGGAATCAGGGGAGGGTTCTTCTTACTCAAAGTTGCGTACCTTCTGTAGACACCATGCTGATGGGTGTTTAGCACTGTTTGAATGTTTGCTATGCAGTATTAAGTAATTTTTCAAATTTGAAAGGTGAAGCCGCTACAGCTGAAGCTGAGGAAAAGGTCATAAAGAAAAGCAAGTCCAAAGCAGAAGAAGCCAAGGATGAGGAGGTTGAGAAAAGTGAGGGCAGAACAAATGAAACAAAGGCGGAAGAGGTGATGGAAAGTGGAGAGAAGGCACGTGAGGTTACAGAAGGTGAAATAAAGCACAAAGACACCCACAGAGAACAGGCCAAGCAGCCTACTCTGGAAATTCTGGTTAGGCAAAGTTATCCCCAAAAGGTAAAGAACTGTCATCTGTATACATCTGTGGCAAGGCAAACAGAACAAGAGGTGTCAAGAGTCATCACCAGTCAAGGAACTGTCATAAAGTACATGATGGATGGATCTAGCCAGGTATGTTTAGTAGAACTCATTGAAAGCACCCTGCATGTGGGATTACCCTTGAAGTTGTGATTGTCAACTGAGGTAGAGAAGTCTCCAGTTTGTAGATGGAGTTCAGTTACCACTGAGTTACGCAGTCATGTCAAGACTAAAATGCTCTCAGCTTTTCTCAGAATCAGAACTTCAGGCACATAGGGAGCTTTAATGATGAAAATTTTAGGCATGTGAAGTTTTTGGGCAATTTTGGGATTAGGTGATAGCTGAATATGGTTTTGAGAACTTCATTCCTGGATTTAAACATCTGAAGCATAGATTAATTGGGCTATGGGTATTTTTGGGAACACAAAAGCATACAGCTATTTTTTTCAGTCATCTAAACTGGGATCCAGAAAAGACCTGAATGTATTGCATATAGATAAGTATTCAAAAAAGAAGAAATAATTTCCTTACAGTAACTGTAGCTCTTGAGATGTTTCTATATGTTGTCCATTTGTTTTCCACATTGTACTGTTTTCTCCCTAGAACATCTGTACTGTATTTGTAAATTAGTTCAGGGACAACTGTTTGCTGCCACACAGGGAACATACATATCGAGAGTTAAGTCTAATGGACAGCAGATCTCTGAAGCCAGCTATAATAAGAAAAATAACCATGACTTCTTTTTGTTAGCTGTCTTGATGGCTATAAAATGAACAGTAATCCTAGACGTGTGGAATACCTGAATACAGATCAATATGATGATACAGATGCATTACCACTGCTACCAAAAAAAATAAAAGGCATCGACCTTTGATCACTTAAACATTCAAAGAATAATCTTTATTGTTTACTTTTATAGTGCCTGTTTGTTAATACTCTTTCCATTAATTATGAGTGAACTGCAGCAATTAGCAGTCCTTTCTTTTTGAGATAACTTCTTTATTTTTTGTATTCATTTTGAGAGTCCTTTACCTTTTTTCCCCTCTGTCACCTACAATATTCTAGTGACTCTTGCATTTGTGACACATTCTTCTGAGACTTTTTATTGGTGTTTGAAGTGATTTTAGTATGTCCTTGATTGCTGTAGATTCTGTTTGCTGATGGCACAACGAGTAGGAGTCCTGATTCTGGTCCTGTCCTACCACCACCTACAATTTCAGATAACATGCAACTGTTACCAGAATCAGAGCCTTCACCTGAGACCAGTGCTAATAAAGGTAACATTTCCGGTGTTTGGGACAGATTTAAAGTTAGCAGGGCTGATGAAACTTGATAAAGGGGTTATTTCTTTAGTCTGATAATTCTGCCAGTATGAAAATACAATTTTATCTGTACTCAGCTGCTGCATACTGCTAATTTGTTGCTTTCATATCAAATCCTTTTTTTCCTACTCAGTAAAAGGGTATATAAGAACTACATCGGTAGCAGAGTGATTCAACACAAAGCATTTTAAAAGAAATCCTCGTAAATATAGCTGTGTCAAAACATTGCTTCTGTGTTACACAGTTTTAATCTTGGTACTGAGAAATGCTTCTCTTACAGAGGACTTGTATTTTCTTTCTCATTGCATGTACCCCAAGGCACCTGCTTTGGTCATTATTAATTGGTTGTCTCTCCCAGTATAACCATTCTTAACATTATTTTGTTTGACTAAGAAAAAAACAAATAAAAGTTTACTTCATACTTCAGAGTGTAGTCCAAGATCATTGTCAATGCTCCTTAATGCAAAGAATAATCATGACCTCTCATTGACATATAATTTATTGAAATTGCTGCCAGAAAGAAAAATCTCTCAGAAACAGACTTTCAAGTCATCAAGTCCAGTCCTTGTTCTTAGGATATTCCTTAGGATAACTGGAAGGATGTATAAGAAATTCCCTGACAAACCATCTTCTAATTCTCAGTCTCAGTATCTGGGACCAGTGTTTATCCTTTATTCTTTTATTTATGATCCCTTTTCCTCCCCACCTTTCGTCTTCACTGCTTAGTCTTGACAGCTTTATAGTGTAAGTTTCATCTCTTTTTGGCTTTTTTTTTTTTTTTTCTAGGATGTATACTGTGAGACTTTTAGACTCCTTTCTGGACTATGCTGCTGTCTTTTGCATACACTTAGTGTGAGTTCCTTTTCTTGAATATTGGAGACCAGAGTTCTCTATCAGATTCTTAATAAGATATCTCCATTAGCTTTCATAATGGAATCTCCATCTCTTTTCTTCTGATGCACCATAGGATTGTGTTTGCCTTTTTTGTCACCATATTTTCACACTGATAACTTTTAGTCATTCTGTGTGAATGATACCTCCATGTCTGTCTTTTCTTTTACTGTTGCAAACTTGTCTGAAGCATAAATTATTTTTATTCCTTTTTGCATTCAATTTCATTCTAATAGGCTGTATCGATTTCCTATTACTTGTCATGGGACAGCTTTGGATTGCTTTTTTTCATGTAATCTATTCAGATTTTCTTCTGCATTGATAGTCCCTTCCAAAGTCACATCATACTCAGATGTCATTAGCATGCTATTTACTTTTTCTGTGTCATTAATGAACACATTAAGTAAGATTAGTTTAAGGGCATACCTTTGAGTAACAGCGCTTGTAATTTTCCTCCAGCCTGATAATTCTTCTTTCAATTCTGTCAAAACCAATACTCACAGAAACTCTTCACTTTATTAATTTTGTCTTTTGCCTTAAAGAATACCAAGTCTGATACAGAAATTTTTGTTTCTGCAGGAAGAGGCAGTGACAGAAACAGCATATCACACCCAAACAAGGACAAGTTGTTTCAAAATACAGTGCAGAGTTTGGTTAATTCTGAGCAACCTAAGGAGAACCGGGCAGGAACCTGGATAACAACTACTCCATCAGGCATTCGAGTGGGCACTGAGGGAGCAAAGAGAATGGATCTGAAGCCACTCTTAATCTACCAGGCAACTGACCCAGCTGATGGAACGGTATTACTATTTTTGTGTTACTATAGCACTGTCCACTAATTTAAGAGACAGGGTGGCTATCATATCAGTTGTAGGATTTGTTCTTTGAACGTATGTCCTACAGGTAGTATTATTACACTATTACTAATACATTTTCTTCAAAATCTTCAGCTTTTGTATGTCCTTGGTCTCTGAAGTAGATAAAGCTTGCGGTAGTCTAGCTTCATCAGAGTTTCAGTACATAATGCCTGTTTTACTGTTGTTGTTACAAGTATCACAGAACTGATGTAAATGAGTCTTTATTCTTTCAGGTTATGACTGTACGAGATGATGACGTGATAATTGTTGAGAAGCTGGATGGCAGCAGAGTGGTAGATCATGCTGATGGTACTAGGATCACAACTTTTTATCAAAACTGTGAAGAACTTTTTGTACCAGAGGATAGTGAGAAAACAGGTAAAATCAAAAGGGAGCATTTATCTCTGTTGTATCTTGAGTCAAATAATTTTCACAATATACTAAAGAAGGCTAATGCCAGTAGCCTAGATAATAAATCTACTAGTGCTGTCTAGGCATAGTTTGTCTGCTTGGTCTTTTTTTCATCAGTATTCAGTGCAAAAATTATATTGCAGCAAACAAGAAAATTTCTTTCTTTCCATGGATATACTTACATGACCCTGGGTAAGTTGTATAACTAACATGAAGTGTATATTTATTTTGGGGGTGTCAGGACAGTTGTGTTCAAACACAGTAGAAAGTTCTGGTTGTGGAACACCTCCCTCTGAGATTTTGAAAACCAAACTAATGATCTTGAACTGGTGTCTCTATTCAGTGGGAAGGCAATGGCCAAATTAACTTACCAGTTTGTTTTCCGTGACTTCTGCTGCTGAAAGGCAATTTCTTCACATCTTAGAGCTTGTATTACAGGCATAAAAAATTGCAGTGGTCCAACTTTTATGATACAAATATCCAGATCATTACAGTTAGTACTCAATAAATTATAGAGTACTCTCCTGACCACCCCAGCCAGATGGTTACAGACATGTTTTGCTTTGGGATTTTCCTGTATTCAATTCACGGTCCAAAAATTTGAAGGCTGCATATTGTTTACCTAACATAAAATTGTGTGGCATAGGATGATATGAAGTGTGAGGGTCTTTCACTAAGGAGATAAAGGTCCAGCCTTGTGAGAGAAAAAGCAAATTGAATCCTAAGACTCTTCCATGGTTCATGTGCTCTTATCTAGATGTTCTGTATTAATTCTTAGATAAACCCTTGGAAGCCATCACAAGGAAGGTGAAATGTGTACAAGTAGAGAATCCTGAGTTTGCTACTGTGACAACAAATTGTGAGGATGGTACCTGTTGTACCATCTTTGGAGATGGGACATCTGTTATAGCAAAGCCACAGGGAACATATCAGGTAGGAATTATTTTTAGTTTGTGACAGTGGAATTTATCTTTGTGTTCCAGGTTCCCTGACATCAGTGTCTCTCACCTTGGCTATTTTAACTCCCTTCTCTATAGTCTTCACAAATCTTATGATTCCATCTTTTTTATATTCTGCCAGTTTTTAGATATTAGAGGTCCCCGTCGAATGGAAACCATCAAATGTTGTCTCAGTTTTCAAGAAGGGAAAGAAGGAAAACCCTGATAATTACAGGCCTGTCAGTCCCACTTCAGTGTCTGGTAAAATTATGGAGAAGGTTATTCTGAGAGTTACTGAAAAACACCTGAGAGACAATACAGTCATTGGTCATGGCATGGGTTCACGATGGGAAAGTCCTGCTTAACTAACTTAAATTCATTTCATGACAGTGTCATCCATGTAGTTGACCAAAGGAGGCCAGTGGATGTGGGTGTTTTTTATTTTAACAAAGCTTTTTGTTACTGTCTCTCCCAGTATCCTTCTGAACAGCACACAGCTAGACAAGTCCATAATACGTTGGGTGAGCAATTGGCTGATGGGTCAGGGTCAGAGAGTTACAATAAATGGGATTATATCAGTCTGGCAGGGTTCTGTGGGGTTCTATCTGTGGGGTTCCCCGGGGCTCGATTTTAGGGCCAGTGCTCTTTAATTGTTTTATAAATGATCTGGATGCAAGAATCGAATGTACATTAAGTTTGATGATGATACTAAACTAGGAGGAGCTGTGGACTCCCTCAAGTTTAGAGAGGCCTATCTGGATAGACTAGAGGACTAGGCAATCACCACCTGTATGAAGTTTAACAAGAGCAAGAGCCAGATTCTCCTCCTGAGACAGGGTAATCCTGGCTACACATATAAACTGGGGTATGAGAGACTGGAGGGGTTTGGGTGGATGATGCAAGTTGAATATGAATCAATAGTGTGCCCTGGCAGCAAAAAGGGCCAACTGTGTCCTGGAGTGCATCAAGCACAGCATAGCTAGCCTATTGATGGAGGTGATTGTCCCACTCTACACCGCACTGGTGTGACCCCACCTCAAGCACTGTGTGCAGTTTTGGGTGCTTCAATATAAGGACATCAAACTATTAGACTGTGTCCAGAGGAGAGTGACCAAGATGGTGAAAGGTCTCAAAAGCAAGACTTACGAGCTGCTGAAGTGACTTGGTTTATTCATCTTGGAGAAGTGAAGGCTGAGGAGTGACCTCATCACAGTCTACAACTTCCTTAAAGAGGGGGACATGCTCATCTCCTCTCTCTAGTGACCAGTGATAGGACATGAGGAAAGTGTCAGGGGAAGTTCAGACTGGACATTAGGAAAAGGCTCTTCACTGAGAGAGTGGTCAGTCACTAGAACAGGCTCCCCAGGGGTCATGGCACTAAGCCTGCCAGAGTTCAAGGACCATCTAGATGAAGCTCTTGTCATATGGTTTAGTTTTAGGTAGTGCTGCAAGGAGCAGAGAGTTGGGCTTGATGAGCCTTATGGGTCCCTTCCAACTTGAGATATTCTATGATATTTCCTCACAACTGTTTGAATGTATGTTTAAATCGCAAGCTTAAATTTAAAGTATTACAGAAACTATCATCAGCCTGACTCCTTGACCTCAACTTCCTTGTTTCTCTCCCTCTAGTCCCTCAAAACTGGATGATTCAGTAGCAAAGGTCTGAGAGCTCTCCTCTTGATTTGCATCTGTTCTTCATTTTCATGGTACTTCTCAACTGAAGAGCTCACCATTCAGGACTGAACCTCTTTCCCTCTTACTGTGATAGGTCTTACCTGTCAAGGCAGGTTCTCTTTTCATTGATGAAGACTGCTCAGCAGTTTATACCCATGAAGTTTACGGTTTCATCAGCGAGAAAGAAGAGAAACAAGCAGGGAGATACATTATGAAACACACTTGCAGCACTATTTGTGAGATGATGGATCCTGAAGGAAATCTTTTCAAGGTAAGATACATGGAGGGAAACAAGTTTCTGCATTTCAAGTAATTTTGTCTTATAAACATCTCTCAGAGTCAGTTTGTAGCCTTGTAGTACTTTTTCTTAAAGTAACCTAGTTAACCAGAAGGAAAAGCTTCTGAATCAGGTCTCTGAAATGTTCTTGAGGATGTGATATGTTTCACTTTTTTTGTTATTTCCATCTTTTTAGAGAGACTGAAATAAATATTTCTGAATAAAATCTAGAGTTTACTTCACCTGTAAAGCTACTTTAATTAACATGACTTGTCTTAAAGCAAAAAATTATCTCTGCAAATGAGAATTAAAAATGAGATAGGATACTGACTTTTCAGAAGGCCCATAGAAACACTCTAATCTGCCTGATAAAGCAAATATTGTAAAAGTAATGATTCAGTCTTTAAAGTCAAACTGATTGTGCTGTGATCCTTTCACATCTAAGGGAAATTTTTGAGCTAGGTTAATACTTACTTTTGAGTTCAGGAAACATCATCTAAGTGTCTGTGATGTACATACTGTTTTCTAATTAAAGATTGTAAATGTGACATCTTCAGAGTATACTTTCTATTGTTGCAGTTATCATTACCATTTTCCCAGACACCTGTGAAACAGCACTGAGATTCAGCTGGACATATGTATTATAATACAGTTTTTAACCTGGTTTCCTAGGCTGAAGAAAGTGCTTATATCAATCTATGCTATCTGTCAGTCTCTCCCTAACAAATTTTGAACTGATTAACAGAGTGGAAGAAATTTTAAAGATACAAAATCGATGCAATTCAAAGGAACTTCTGTAGCGCATCCTTTTTCTCAGCTGATACTTTGGAGGCTGAGGAGGCTGTGGGGCAGTTGAAGGTACTGTGGGAACACTAATCACAGGGGATATGGAAGGTGTAGAAAGAAAGGTACAATTAATGGTTGGTAGAGATGGCAACTGGGTGCAGGTATAATAGGAATGGTTTTCCCTCTGTCCTAGTCACATCTGAGACTACAGTGAAATGGTCATGGACTGGGTATGCCAGATTCAGTTCATAGGGCCACCCTTTGCATCACTCTGGTTTAAACTGTATCTTTCAAAGGCATCTGTCCTTAATTGACTATACTAAGAATTAAAGGCATTATTATACCTTGTGTGCATATGTTAATGGCATATAAGTTAATAATCACAAGAAGGAAATAACTGTAGAAATTCACTTAGTATTATCATCAGATTATCTGAGCCCATATTTTTAAAGTGAATAATGCCTAACAAGGGACCCCTCTATACATATATCCTACATATATCTATAGGCATATATAGGTAAATAGAATAAATACATAATCTGTATCTATATCTAACTATATATCTTAATATATCAACATGTATATGGATGTGTATATATTTAGACATATATATACACATATATACATATACATATGTACATATATATGTACGTATAAATACATATGTACGTATATATACACCAGCTATATATAGGTAGATAAATATATATAATGCATATATATAATTTATATCTCTTATGTCAACATGTATATAAATGTGTGTATATATGGGGTATATATTAATACATTCACTTATATCTATATATAGATTAATATATACACATACTTGTATGTATATGCACATTTATAAATAGACATGTATATTTATATGTATACCTGTATATATGTATGTACTATGTAATTATTAACTGACATATTAGCATACAGACATATATAATTATGTATATATTTTATATATCTCTGTGTGTAGGTGTATATACATAGATACATATATACCTTACAGAGGTACATCAGTACCTGTCTGAGTATACAGTTACCTGACTTGACCGGTGAGTATTTTTGTGTGAAGTTGCCTGTTGATGCCTGCAGATATATATGCTGAAGATGGAATGTAAGCATGAATTGCCCCATTTGACAGCTAACACTCCTTGAGCATTTATTAAATATCAGCATGTGGTATTAGCATAGTTTTCTTCTTCATTTCTTTTTCCTGTGAATTCTGGGTTGCTTAATCTGAAATATGGTTCTTCTGTCTCTTTCACTGAGCTAGGTCATATTACAGTCCAGCACCAAGTTACTGTTTTAAAGGTATCACGTAACTCAAGTCATTTTATGTAATTTCTGGTACAGGTCATGGCTGATGGCAGCACATCTGTGTGTGTTCCTGGCATTGGCTCTGATGACAAGGAAGACAGAAGTTCAGCATCAGTAATCCCAGAAGTTAACATACCCATCACTTATGATGAACATGTTCCCAGGTAAACTGCACTGGATTCATAGGTTTACACTTTCTTTCTTCACTACACTGTAGGTACAGTGTTTGTATATTTGTGCTTCCTTTGTGCAGTACTCTGTATTTGTACATTTGATGTCGTCATCTTGGAGTTCCGCTTTCTTGTCATGTCATCACAGTACTTTTTCATTTTTGTCATCTAGAAAGGAATGCAGTTTAAAAGCCATTGAGTTTGATCAGTGTGGTGGGCTGCCAAACATCCACCCAGCTGCTCTCTCACTCCCCCTCTTCAATGGCCCAAGGTGGGAAAATAAGATGCAAAAGGTCAAGATAAAGACAGAGAGATCACTTACCAATTACTGTCACGTGCAAAACAAATTAATTTTCCCCAAGTTGAATCTAATTCATTGCTAATTAAAATAAAGTTGGATAGTGAGAAACAAGGATGAAAACACCTTTCCCCATCCCCTCTTTTTCTCAGGCTCAACATCTCTGCCTCATTCCAGACCCCTCTACCTTCTCCCCATCCCAGCAGCACAGGGAATGGGAGGTTGTGATCAGTCTGTAGCAGCTCTTCTCTGCTTCTCTTTCCTCCTCAAACTTTTACCCTGCTCTATTGTGGGTCCTTCCCATGGGCTGCAGTCCTTTTGGTTAAACCTGCTCCAGCATGGGCTTTGTGTGCGCTGCAGTTCCTTCAGGAAATACCCATCTGCACTGCCATGGTCCTGTCTACAGGCTGCAGGGAAATACCTGCTCTGGCACCAGGAGCACCTCCTCCTTCTCTGGCCTTGGTGTCTGCAGGACTGTTTCTCATAGTTTTTTCCCTCACTCGTCACTGCCTGTGCAGCCTTTTGCTGTTTCAGAGAATCACAGAATCATCTCGGTTGAAAAAGACCTTGAAGATCCTCCAGTCCAAACATGAACCTCACACTGACCGTTCCCAACTCCACCAGCTCCCTCAGCGCTGGGTCAGCCCGACTCTTCAACCCCTCCAGGGATGGGGACTCCACTACTGCCCTGGGCAGCCCATTCCAATGCCAAACAACCCCTTCTGCAAAGAAATACTTCCTAAGAGCCAGCCTGACCCTGCCCTGGTGCAGCTTGAGGCCATTCCCTCTTGTACTATCGCTTGTTAGTTCATTAAAGAGACTCATCCCCCCTCTCTGCACCCTCCTTTCAGGGAGCTGTAGAGGGCCAGGAGGTCTCCCCTCAGCCTCCTCCAGACTAAAACCCCCCAGTTCCCTCAGCCGCTCCCCATCAGACCTGTGCTCCAGACCCTGCACCAGCTCCGTTGCCCTTCTCTGGACACGCTCGAGTCATTCAATGGCCTTTTTGGGGTGAGGGGCCCAAAACTGAACCCACTCATCGAGGTGCAGCCTCAGCAGTGCCAAGTACAGGGGTCAGATCCCTTCCCTGTCCCTGCTGGCTATGCTATTTCTGACACAAGCCAGGATGCCATTGGCCTTTTTGGCCACCTGGGCATGCTGCTGGCTCGTGGTCAGGTGATTGGCAATGACCCTGCCAGGTCCCTCTCTGACTGGCAGCTCTCCAGCCACTCCTCCCCAAGCCTGTAGCGCTGCTGGGGGTTGTTGTGGCCCAAGTGCAGAACCTGGCATTTGGCCTTACTGATTTCTTACACGTTTTCCCTGAGGTGCCACCATTTTGGCTGCGGGGCTCAGCTGTGTTCTGCAGGGAAACTGTTGGAGCTGCTGGGACCATCTTTGTCCAGCAAAGGGCAGCCCCTCGCCTCTCCTCACAGGGGCCGCCCTGCAGATCCCCACTGCCAACACCTTGCCCCCTGTGCCCAATACAATCCAATGTGTGTGACTGGCTGTGTAGGTTCTTCGTCGTCTACGCAGATGGTTCTGGAACTGAGCTCCTGCGGAGCAGGGATGTACACAAATATCTTGCCGAAGTCGCTGGTGATCCTGCTGCTGCTGTCTTGCAGGATCCTGTACAAGAATGTCCAGGTAGGAAAATTTTATTTCTTTTCTGTCAACTAATAACAGAAACAATTACAAAGGTGAAGTCAGAAGTTTCAAAACTCTTATTTGGATGGGAAATTTGAAAATGTTTTTCCATATGAAGAGAGGTGCCTACGTTTCTGACAGTGAAGCAGGGGGAAGAAGGAGCTTGTGGAAAACTCTGGGAAGCAGAGAATTAACTGAATGATGCTGCGAAGGGATAAGTGAACAAACAACTGGCATGTCTTAATCTGCTCTCAGACATGCAAACAAAAGTGATTACCAAATGCATAGATTCTCTGTGTATTTACCATCAAAACCATTGAATGTATCCAGTCTTCATTAATCCTCTAGCTCTATTTATCAGAAAAGACAATGATACTCTGATGTTGACTCTCAGGCTGTATGTTGGAAATGATACAGTTACTAAGAATCTGGAAAATATGACTGAAATGGGGGATGCTGGTAGTGCCTGACACCAACCACCTCATAGTAGCAATCCAAGAAGTTACATCCTGAAATATGGGTTATCATTGTCAAGTTAGTTTGAGTTACTGTGTTGCTACAAAATACATTGTGGCCTAAGAAAACAAATACATCTTTAAAAAGGCAGAAACATGGGTATCCTGATGTGTGATATAGTTTGTTTCAAGCTGTAAAGTACTAAGACATTCTTATCAAAGATGGAGAACAGGTATCCTACCTACTACTCTTACCAGGTTTTGCACATTTTTAAAGGCTACTTCTATGCACAATAATGACTGGTCCCCCATTGTATAAACTGAATGAAATAATTTTTTGCTATGGTAAAAGGAAAAGAGAAAAATCTCTGAGGGAGACAGAAACATGGGGAAGGTGGAAAGATCAGGAAGGTGGAGAAGATACATACCCGCTGAAAATCCCAGTCAAGAAAACTTGCTCACAACCAGCAGTCATTTATAATAGTAGCACATCTGCTTTTCCAGACTTCATACTCTACTTTTCTTAATACTGCCTCTATTTGCCTTGTCACTTAAAGCTCAAATATTTTGTGTTATTGTGACAAAGTACCTCACTAGTCATACCCATTTTGAAGGCCACCTATGGGATACATAACAGTAGATTAAGTAGATTTGAGGGTTGGAAAAAAACATTTTGAAGAACATTAAAATTAATTAGAACAATAGAAAGAGATAATAAATCATCTCTAATGGAATCCAACCAGTGATCAGATTGTGAAGAATTATTCATGTTCTGAATATGAAGTACTTCTGAGATTAGTATTTGATAAACATGGGTCAATGGTCTGCTCTTCCTTGTTTAGGATACTCCACACACTATACAACTGAGCCATTGCCCAAGACTCAAAGCAAGTAGTTAAACATGGTCTGAGTAATCTGAACCTGTCCAACTATTCTATAATCACCTCAGTGATCCAAGCACATCCATCTATTCTGTAATCACCTTAGTGATCCAGTATTATCTGTAGCCATGAGTATTGCATTTTCACATGGTGATTTACCACTTGATAATAAGGGGTTTTATACTTAGGTAAGTATATTTTTATCTGGAGGTTTGAGACACTTGTCCATCATTTTTGAATTTGAACTGATTCTTAGCAAAATGTGTCTGAACCAGGTGTTTTAAGTATTACTATCCTCCGCCCTTTGGCTGAAGCCTCCCCCTGGGTAAAGAAGAAAGAACCAGAAAGTATTGTTCCTCCAAATCTTCAGTCAAGGACCCGAGACACATTTTCTCCTCCCGAGGTATAATTGTTTCAGAATTGTCTTTTGATGCTTATGCAATAGATATTTGTCATGGGGAGGGAAATGCAGCTCTAAACAATGTGACATTGTCCGGTTCTTAAGCAGGTAGAGCAAGGGACAGGGGATGAAAAATGTAGTCACCTTGGTTGTCTTCTGCTCTTTGTAGGGTGATATAGCAATTTTAGGGGCAGTTCATCTTGCCAGATGAAGAAGTTTTAGAATAGGTAATTTGTGCCCAAGAATCTACTGACTTTATTGTCTAGATCTGTGGTGCTATAAGGCCAGCATGTGCTTTTCAGCTGAGACACATGTTGCTGATACCTGCATTTAGTCACTTAAATAAGTAGCCTCTTCCTCTTTTTGCTTGTTCTTGTCTATGTTCAGAGAAAGACGACAGGACCCTCAGTCAGAACATGGACTTGGAGGGGTCTCTGCATTGGATCCAAAGAGCAGACATGCTTGCCAGCACCTGTGCGAAAATGTCCTAATAAACTCCAAATCCGCCAGCTATTCCAGTATAAGCCACTCAGTGATGAACTAAGAGAAAAGCTGCAGCTTTCCCTTAAGGTAATACAATCACATTTATTCATTCTTTCAGTGAGCAACAGAGAACAGACAAATTAGGAGATATAAATTTGCAGTACATGCCTGAGACAAAAATTCTGCTACTTTGAAGAACAATCAGCATTTCATATGTAGATGGGTGCTCTGAGAAAAGTGTATTTTTGAAGCAGCTCAACTGTATTCATTTATATCTTGTGGAACCTACTTTTCTGTGTAAATACGTGGGATCCAGAACTAACAAGTAGTTTGCTTTCTGCCAGTATTGATATATTATTTTGCTTAGGGTTTGTTTTCCTTCACAAAGCCTTAAAAACATATAAAGTTGGACAAGAATTGCTAACCCACTATAATTCTACAGTTAACTTGGTGATAAGGTCACTGAGACACACTCCAGTTTTGGTTATGTATTTGTTTTCATAAATCAGTACAAAACATTTCCAGGTTCAAGTCTGAGTTCTAAACTCTATAAATGTCTAACAAATAGCTCTGTAGCCTTCTAACAGTGTGTGCCCATCCCTCATGAGTAAGTGGTTCATAACAAGGTGCAAGCTACACCTCATGTGCAAGTGTTCTGAGATGGAAACTGAAAGTTCTGCAGTTGATCCTTGTCAGCATCTTCATAGTTCTCAGTTTTGGTATAAAACTTCAATTTATTTAATTCACATTATGAAGATGCTCTTGAAAGATATTTTAGAGTTAAAAACTCATTCTTACTTACCAAATAGAAATACATGTGTTCTATAATTTATTCAGTTAACATATATTGATAGTGTCATTGCAGACTAAATTTGAAAGTTAACAGCATGTGAAATTTTTGAAGGTAGTAGCATATTGTAGCCAGTCAGGGTTGGTTTTTTTTCGCATTACATTTCAAAGAAGACATGCTTGCAATAAAAAAACATTGCCAGCTGTTCAGCCGTGGGATGTTTGGGATGTGCTAGTCTATTAGAATTAATTTTTACCCTTTTACAGTCTATAAATATATAAAAATTATTCTTTAATGTTCATACTGATCTTTTAAAGGCAACACTGTAAAAAAAATTCCACACCAAAATCCTAAGGTAAGTCTATTAACCAGATATGTTGTTGGCTTTTAGAGAAAGAAGAATGCTGTTTGTTACATTGGGAAGGAAGAATTGTAATTATTGGCACTGCGAAAACATTTGTAATAACTGTGTTAATGTGCAATGGAAATATCCTCAATGCTCATAAATCAGTATTAATCAATGGATTTTTCCAAAAAGAGGTATCTTCAATCTTTAGTCAAATATACACTTTGTCAAAATTAAATCAGGATCTAAAAAAGAAGGTATTCTTGCTTTCTCCATCTTCTTTAAGATTTAAGAGCTATAAAGGAATGAAGAACTGGAACTGGAAACAGATTGCTTCTGCAAACCTTGTCTATTCACAAAGCTTGATACTGCATATAGCTTTCTAGCAGAGTTGTGTGTTAGGACAACCTTCTGTAAGAACCCTTTTTTCCATCCAACTGATCTTCTAAAGCATAAAGAAATCTGGGAAAAGAAAAGCACTTAGTGTGATTCTGGCAAAGTAAACACTTGTCTAAAAACAGAGCTTCCAATTTTTTTCTGAATGTAATTTTTCAATTATGATTTGTAAATTTCCTTTTCCCTAATAGGAGATCAAACAGGAGGGAGATATAGATCACAAAAAATCCTGGAACACCTTTTATTCATAAACTGATCTTAATAATATAGTTGATTATTATTAATAGCATCTATTTACTCAACACATTCTTTTATTCACTCATATGGTTTACTCAGACACTTGCACGCTCACTCATAGTTGCCTCCCTGGTGCAGGGAGGCCAAACCTACCTGCCTTGGAAGCAGGGGGTCACACTGATGGGCCAGGGGCACCTAGACAGCTGGTGGACGTGGTCCAAGTCACACAGTTCATTATGGAATCTAGCGTGTGCCAGTGGCCTGCTAGAGATTCAAGAGACTCTTGATGTCCTTAGTATATTAGTTTTTGCAGATTCAACAGTATTGTTAGTCTTCAGAGTTGATTAGTCCTTGGTCAGCTTTCACCTGCTACCTACTCAGCATGCACCCCTCTCTTCGATGCGTTGGATTTTCTAAAAAACTGTTTCTCTATGCAAACCTTTAGATATCTATATAACCCATTCACACAAATTCACAGAAAGGGCCTTTATGATATTGAGAGGAAGCATATACATCCATTACTTCTACAAACTCTTTTTTCTGTATATGTGACCCCTAAGTCTACCTCTGGAAAGAAAACATTTGCATCTTTCTTGTTCTTTCTCATTATTCTACCAGGAATATTTAGACAATATTTTAAAGCAGGAAAATGATCTGGAAGAGATGAATGTAAAAGAACGAAGAACAGAAGAGGAAAAGCAGAATGCTGCAAGTCTCCTTGAACTGCTTACGGTGAGAAAAATACAATTTTTAACTACTTTTTCAAATAAAACCATTGGATTGCACTGGAAGTGTCAGCCTTAAAACACATTAATAAAACATCCATTAATAAAACAGCAAAACATCCATTAGGATGAGGATGTTTCCAGTCTGTTGTCATTGCAGCTGAAAGATTTGTATTTCAACCACAGCCTCCTCCATAGTGAGAGTTTAAACCCTGCTTTTGGGATAATCCCAAAACAGTCTGGAGGAATATTGTTGTTACTGCTGAGCAGCATTTTTTATTTTTTGTAAAATGTACTGTTAATTTGCACAGATAATTAGAGCATGAAAAGAAAAGGGAGCAGAATACGTAGTGGAAAAGGTGGGTAAATAGGGGAAGAGGGACTTGGGGTAGCAGTCAGGAAGCAGTGAGGTTAGCAGAAGATGAGTGGTGAAAAAAAGTAGGAAAGTTCGAGCAGCAGAAGTGAGTGGAATAAATTAGGATGAATGAGAGAAAGACTACTTACATCTTAAGTAAAGAGTGATCAGTTTGCTCTATTTCAGTTCTTAAATTTGTTTCCTACAGCTTTCTTTAAATTGGGTACCTTGCATGATGTGAATTCACACACTAGATTTTTAGTAGTTATTAAACGCTGTTTTCTTTATAGTCTCATTTAGGAAATACTTTTATTTCCATTTAATCAAATAACATTCAGGTAGTAAATTCAAACATACAGAATTTAAAAAAATCTGGCATTTGAAAAATAAAATCTAAACATGTTAGCTTAAATATTCACTCCTGGATGATCAATCAAGCTTTCAAAAGTGAATGTATTCTAGGAAACAAACATCATCCTAGCTTCAGATTCTAAATTTTAAACCTTGTCGCAACTTGCAAAACATTAAGAATGAGATCTTTTCAGTTTTAAATGTCGTTAATTTCCTTTTCCTAGCTTTCTGGGTAGATTTATAACTTTACTTTTTTTTTTTTTCTCTCCTGTACAAGCTTAATAAAACCCCATGTAATTCTAGAATTTGTCTCTGAACTTTTTAGCCAAGTTGGCATTTTCATTTGCTGAAACTAAGGCCTAATTTTTGATACTACAAGCTTTCATATATATATTTTTGCTCAGTACTTTCTAGTGACATACAAGTCCTAAAAAGAGAGTAAATATCTAGAAAACAAAACAAAACAAACCCGGAAGGAACTCAAACTTTTCTGGAAAGAGGAACATAGAGAAGTGATCTATCCATAACTCCATCTGCCTCTATCCTCTAGGCAGATACTTATTTGCTCTGATGAGATCCAGGTGCTGAATCTCACATGCTACTCAGTTCAAATGAACTTGTCTAGTGACTAATTATTGTTGATTGTCCCAGCTACCATGAGCACATTTCCAGATTTCACATTGGACAACTCTTTCCTGAGCAGTAGAGTCTCACTGTGGATCTGCTGTGACTCAGGAATTGGTGTCTCACTCCTCTCAAGTCTCCACTGTTCCCCAGCTCTGTTACAACCTAGACTGCCTGGTCACAGGAAATCTGGTTTTCAGGTAACTGCTTCAAGGACAGCATGAGAATAAAGGAAACAGCTAAGTTTAGAGTCTCTTACCCCTCAGACACTTTACTGTAAACCAACCACAAGAGAGCTCCTACAAATTTCTGAATACATTTCCCATTTGACTTCTTGCTGTGACCATGAGTTTTAGATCTGGTTCAAATCTTTTGCAGAAGGATTTGAGTTTGATTATGAATTGGCTTAGCTGATTTAGTAAGCAGCAACTATATAAAATAAAAAGCCATCTGTGAAGTAGGTCATCAAGAAGGAAACTAATACCTGTTTAGACCAGCGAAATCGTACTTAATTTCATTTTTTCCCAGCTCATGTTTTCTAACACACTGAAATACCTCCATTCTTGTAGTCACATTTTCAGGCAACAAGGTAACACTTGTTTAGGATGGGAACCCTTTGAACAAGATGCTGTTTGTGTAAGGTCTGTTTCTCATGTGATCACAGTTATTCCTTCTTCATTGCAGTCCTTCCCGAACTGGGAGAAGTCAACTGAAAATCTCAATGACAGAGGTAATAAAAATTGAGTATCTGTCTTTTAAAATTGTAAAATATCACAGTAAGTTTTAAAGTACTGCAGTATTATTTTTAAAGAGGGAACATAAAGGTGAATTCATCTATGTGCTATCTATGAGCTTCTGTGTGATCTTCACAGGTGATTAGAAATTGTTAGTATCAATGGTTCAGTACCTCTGAAAACCAATTCCTGTGTTTAGGCATGTGTATTTGGGATTTTGACACACATTTCCACATGCATTGAGTTTTCTTAGGTATAAGAAACATGACAAGTATCAACTTCCATACAAGTTTTTCAAAGCAACTAGATAAACCCTGGTTATTTATTACACTTGAAAATCTGATCTCAAACAATCATGTGTTTTGCTTATGTTAACCTTGCCTAAGGGAAAAGATGGAATGGTGTATTAGCTTTCCCTCATAAACTTACGTTAAAGCTTTTATAAGATACTCGTTAACATTTATAAGTGTTTTCAATATGTACAAATAAAAATTAAGATGTTTGTTTCTTTTAAAAATCCATAAGCCTTTTCCATAAGAAAAATTCCGTAGTATTCAATCCCCTAGTGATGCTAGCCTTTTAGTGTTATTTTTCTGCCCTTCCTGCCTTGTCAAGAGTATTTCTACTTGTTAAAAAAAGCTTATTGTGCAAAGTAAATAGAAACTGTTGCAAGAAATGCTTGCTACACAGTTTTCTGATTTAAGTGGACATGCAATTTTAACATAATATTAACGAAGAAGATAGTGGGAAAGAAAACTTTTAAAGAGGTAAAAACAGAAAAAGCAGAAAAATAAAAGTATATTTTATGGTGACAAAGCTGACCAAAAAACCAAAATTTTAAGTTTGCAATTACGTAATTCTTGAAACACTAGGAGATACTGCCATAGTCAAATATATCTCAAATACTCAAGTTTTGCCAAAGAAATTTGTTTTCTTTGGACTCACAGTTTAGGTTCAAGGCATGAACAACACATTTTATAAAAGATGTCAGAGAACAAGAAAACACTTCATTAAAGCCCCAGAGCTGGTCACAATCTTAAATATGGAATGATTGGCTTTTCTCCATTATACATATTTAAGTAGTAGTTCCTTCCATGAGAATGTTGATTATGGCTGCTTCACAGCCACAATTAAGCACAACTTAAGTAAGCTGAAAGTAATAAAGGTCCCTGAAAGCCCACATTATTTTCTTCAGCTGGAGATAGAGACCTGGAACACTGTTCTGTAGTCAGAAAGTGTCTGAACGTCAGCAACTTTTCCTCTTCACAGGTATTTGATTTGTATCTTGAAAGAACAAAAAGATATTTCAGGAAATACAGGTGGGGATATGAACTCAATCTGCTTCGTGTGCTTTCTACATTGAACTGAATTAATTTCCTATATGCTAACATTCTGAACTTGAGTTTGGAATTAAGTTCTTCTGCCTTTTTTCTCGCAGTAATAAAGAATGATAGGTTTTCATCAAGTGACAAAAAGATGCATTAAAAATATATCCTTTTATGGTTTTTATTCATAACATTCAGCAGTGCTTAGCAGAACATACACATTCATTAATACTGTTTACCTTGCAGCTCACGTAACTGAGCTGTATGAACAGGCAGTGGCTTCTCAGCACCAGTATCACACAGAGAAGACAATCACTGTGCAAAGAGAGGACCAACAGCAGAGGTTCAGGTAGGACAGACTAGTGAGAACTGATGCAAATGTAAATAACACAAGATGGAACCGAGCACACAGGCAAGGCAGTGTGCTTTAGTGATGTCATTAAGGACCAGGACCTAGCTCTCTGATACATATCACATTTCACTAGCTTTTCCTATGATTATTTTGTTCCTCTGTGCCTCTCTTTCCTTATCTGAAAGATACTTTAAAGTTTCTTGGAAAAGGATTTTGAGGGTTTGTTTGATTGAATAATATAATAAAAATGCAGATATGAGCAAACAATTTTGTGCAAACATAACATACTCTCATAAAGAGCATTTTCTTTCCAGCATTACAAAAATACTTATTTACAAGATACTTATAGAACATAATGCTAGTTTTCTCATTTTCACTACTTTTTTTTTCTTTCCTGATTATTCAGCCCAGAAGGAGTAACACCAGTGTCCAAGTGGCAGAGCAGACTAGAAGAGCACAGGTAATAGTATTAGTAGGACAGAAAATTATTTATTTTATGAGCCTACTGAAGTCTGCTTTTGGAAAGACTGTTACTGATTTCACCAGGTCTTGGGTAATGGTCCAGTGGCTTGCTAGCAAATAATGGGGTGTTCTCTGCAACAGAAAAGCTGAATGGATGGCTTGAGTGTCATTTTTTTCAAAACCTAGCAGTGCTACTGTTAACATGCTATTCAAAACAAGGCTGAAGCCTGAAGCTCTGTATTCTGTTTTCTGGTTCTGCCACCAGTGTGGAAAATAATTTATATTTTTAAATGCTGATGCTTTAGTTTAAGATTCAGGTATTCCACAAATCCCAGCTGATTTTCCAAATAGAACCCCAGACATATATCTATCGCATCTATCAGCTTCAAAGCATCTCAAGGCAAAACTGTCCCAGCTCTCTCAGCCTCTCCTCATATGAAATATCCTCCAAGCCCTAAATCTTGTGGCCCTTCTGTGTATCAGGGGGCACAGAAACAGACACAGTACTCCACATGTGGTTTCACCAGTGCTGAGCAGAAGGGAAAAATTCACCTCCCTGGACCTCTTGAGAGCATTCCTCCTCACGCAGCCCAGGATTCTGCTGGTGGTATTTTCCACAAGGACACACTGTTGATTCATGTTCAGTGTGGTGTCCAGCAGGACTCCTAGGTCCTTCTCCGCAGAGCTGCTTTACACTGGTGGGCAGGGTGGCTTAAGTCCCCCATGAGGACCAGGTATTATGAACCTCATTGCCCTCTACAACTACCTAAAAGGAGGTTGCAGAGAGCTGGAGATGAGGTTCTTGTCCTATCACTTGTTACATGGTTCAAGAAGGAATGGCCTCAAGCTGTGCCAGGGCAGGGTCAGACTGGCTCTTAGGAAGTATTTCTTTGCAGAAGGGGTGGTTGGGCGTTGGAATGGGCTGCCCAGGGCAGGGGGGGAGTCCCCATCCCTGGAGGGGTTGACCCAGCGCTGAGGGATCTGGTGGAGTTGGGAACAGTCAGTGTGAGGTTAATGGTTGGACTGGAGGACCTTCAAGGTCTTTTCCAACCAAGATGATTCTGTGATTCTGTGAACATGAGGCTTCTTCCAGTTGTCTGAAGAAAGCCACATCTACCACTTCTTCCTGATCAGCTGGTCTATAGCAGAGAGACACTCACAACAATGTCATCCATGTTGGTCTGCCCACTAATCCTAACCTCTCAGCTGGCTCATCACCCATCCCCAGGAAGAGCTCCACACTTCCCAGCTGCTCTCTTAAACACAGGCCAAGTTCCCCTCCTTACCTTCTTGGTCTGCCCTTCTAAAGAGCTTGTACCCATCCACACAGCACTCCATTCATGTGAGCTATCCATCCACTTCTCTGGGATAGCAGGAAGGTTATCACCCTGTAGAGTGCGCACAGACAGAATTCTTCCTGTTTGTTACCTGTGCTGCACAAAGTAGCATACATTTCAGAGAGGAACCCAGCCCTGCTGATTGCCCAAAAAGGGTCTGAAAGCTTTTCCCACAGTGCCATCCCATACACATTTCCTTATTTACATGCATATGCTTGGTGTGACCCCACTTCAGCTCTGTTTAGTTGAGTGTGAAGTCCCTTCTGTTCACATCACCCAGGCCCTTTGCTTGCCTACCACATCCACTGCCTCCTCACTTGATTGTTGAGGCTTCTCTCCCTCCCCACCTCATTGCACCTATAAAGGGCAGGATACAGTCATGGTTTACAACTTGGAAACGCAGCTGCATTTCTAAGAACATTTTAAGAGGTAAAATGTGTGGACAGTAGGTAAACTCATTATCTTTAAGAAGAACTTTAAGATTAGGGTCATCTTAAAAATCAATGCTGCACTAAAGCAAGGCCTGTTTTGCCACGTTTGAATGTTCTACGTTGGGAATTACCTGTATCTCAATTTCCTGTTTGTAAAGTATTTCTCATGGGAGTTCTGAGGCAGGTGCTATATTCTTCAGATCAGAAGTGCTTTTACAGGAGGAAATGTGTGTGCATATGTGTATGTATATAAATGTAAAAATCTTTGTAACACTGAAAGTTGTATTTAAGGGTGAACTTCAATTTTAATTCTTAATCCCCTTGATTTCACTGGCCCCAAATTTGTAAAAAAAATGCCCTTTATCTCCTGCTTATAAGTGGTGAAGCTGTTTGATGAGATCAAGAAAAAAATCTATATAGATGCTTGAAACAGCATATATTGCTAAAATTTTATTGCTGAAAATGTACATTTCATAATCAGATGAATTTTCATGAGATTTTCTGATCAGTTATCAAAAGTCACTGGATTTCAGTCTGCAGATTTGGTAATTCACAAAAGCATTTGAAAAAAAATAGGAGTGATCTCAAAGCCTCTATTAACTGAGAGAAAAATACTATTTTGGGAAAGGAAGTTTACTAAAAGATTTTTATTCTGTGGAGAGACATAATTATATTGCTGCATTATACAATTCTTTAGGACCACACAAAAACTTCTAATTTAAGCACTGTGCATTGAAACCTTTATCATTTTCAGTTCTAGAGGAAAGGGCATTATGAACCTGATGAAATGTCACATTCCGCAGTGTAATCGGGCAGGACTGCTTAAGTTTGAAGAATTAAAAATATGTATTTAATTTATGCTGAAATAGAAAACCTGAAACATGAGCTAGGATTAATATGGAGAAAGTTATCAGTAATATACCTTCATTCACAATGGAATTAAAATAATTATAGTGACAGCTATGTAGATTCACTATTTCTTACATTAAACAGAATAACTTGAAATGGTGGTGAACTAATATTATGAGCATAAACTTGTTTTTTCTTTCTTATTTTTGTGAAAGATTAAATAGAAATCGAAAACTAAGTTATTTTCTGAGCTGCTTCTTACTTGATTTCTGACTTGCCTAAGATTAAAAAAACTTACAATTTCAGATTTATATTTTAATAGAGCATTTTACACTGGTTTGCATTCTATTTAAAGAATTACTTTAAATACATATATCTGAGTAGCCAGCACCCAAGAACATTGTGTAATTCTGGCTCTAAAGCCGGTGTCAAAACTCTCAGTATGATTAAGAATGATAATTTCAGAGCTGATCTTAAACCCTGCAAGTCAGTAGTGCAAAACTGGACTAAATCAGGCTGAAAATATCACTGGTCTTTACTCTGAATCTTACCTTCAGAAGTTTGAACAGCTTTTTCTGTATCCATCAAGTTTTTCTGCGATAAAACAATTAGATTAGTTTTATATTACAAATTTTATCAGTGCATCTGAAATACCAGTTCTCAGATTAAATGTTTGTTGTAAGGTTGGAAAGAAGCTATTGGCAGTCTCGGACATATTCCACGAGATTTAGAGAACTGGAGGAGCTCTTCATAGCAGCCAACCCACTGTCCATATGCATTTTGGTCAGCCCCTCCATCAATCATATCCTCCATATCTGAGGAGGACACTGTCTGTGTGTGCCGGACCAGCCTGTTCTTGATCTATCTACTGAGAAAATTGCAGTTACAAGAATATCGCTTGATGTGATTAACCAGGGGAGAAAATACCACTTGCCTTTATCAATTCCATTCCTCAATGTTTTAAACTTAATACTGAAAAACAGTGAACTCAGTATAATGCTTTTTTCTTTGTTTTCCTTACCAATGATGTTAAAACTTACTTAGGAAAAAACTTGATGAAGAAAAGAAGTCTTTAATGGCAATGAGAAACAAAATAATCCCTCCATATTTTGAATCAGAATTCAGCAAGGAGTTTTTCCTAAAAAAGGTAATGTAACAGCTGAAAACTGTATGAGTTTGTGTTAGGCCAGGTAGTTTCTGCCATACTCCCACAAAGACAGTTGTGGGTTTACATGTCAGCCTCAATTTATCTCAAGAAACCATTACAGAGCGTAGTCATGGCAGAATTAATACTGGGAATTACATGCCTTTGTCAAAGGAAACATATCTTGGAGATGGTATATGTACATTGAGTACAAACTGTGGATTCCTTACATAAACTCTGGAGAGACTCTGATTCAGAGCAGGAGCTGAACCTCAGGTCTTTGCACTTACTCCTCAAAAACCTCTTTCTGCTAACTAGAAAGGGAATTAGTAAAACTAACCCTCCTGATTTAAAGGTGGCTTTGGGATCTTTCCTGTCGTAATCTCACCTGACAAGTGATGTAAGTGCATAAAGCATACTAAAAAATGTACTTTGGAATCTGAGGTATACTTATGTATAATTATAAAATAATTACCACTTTGGTTCTGGTTATTGGTTTCCTTTGCACTTTGTTTTTTTGTTTGTTTGGGTTTTTTTCCCCAAAAGGGTTGGGGCTGTCTGCTGGGATTTTTTCTAAATGTTTAGTTGGGAGACCTAAGCCCTCTTTCTTACTTTTCTGTAGTTTCCTGATGTGGAAGCACTGTCTATGGAACTTCCTCCAGTTCAAAAAAAAGGAAGTGGGAATTTCCCTCTAGAGATGAGCAAAAAACCCAGTAGAGGTAATCTACTGTCTGGCAACGTTTTAGTATCATCTTCATTGTTTTATCCAGTTATTTCATATTGCAGTTAAATTTAAGATTACACTCTCTGACCCCACATATTCCCAATCATTTTGACACAGAGACTACTTGGCTATATCTATTCTGATACATGACACATACCCAGCAGCACTCCCTGACATTGAGATCCACCAGTATGGAGTAGGCTGTGTAAATTCTGTTTCCCAGAACAAGATGGCCTTTTCCCTGGCCAAAACTAGTGTACCCAAGAGCATTTTTGGGGAGATTGCTAAATTGTGCAGTCAGTGTCATACCAGTGCTCTTAATAAATTAACAGTATAGATTAGCATGTTCCAGTATCTGGGAATGTTCCTATTAAATCCATTAATATTAATGTGGTCTGTGAAACTTCTATATTTATTGTATTAAAGGAGCCTTTGCAGATATCACTGAATGTGAAAGTGCCATCAGCTTTGGATGAATGAGGGGTGGATGGATGCAAAATGTGCAAGAAAAACTTAAATGAAATAAGCAGTAGCTAGGGGTGGATGAGCAAGAACCAACAAGGCCAAGTTTAGAAAAAGACCGGTATGATTGTAGGAAAAAAATATGGGAGATGGAATTCTGAAATTCAGTGGTAAGAGGGGCTGCTTGAAGACTGCAGCAAAAGCAATATGGAAGAGGAAACGTGCAGGCTAAAGATAATTTGAAGGATATAGGAAGAGTGTAGTGACTGGATGACAGGAAGCAGTGAAACAGTGAACCACCATCTTAGGTTTGAGCTTTACAACACTGAGAGGAATCCTTCAGTTCTGTCTGAAAAGCAGCCTTGAGAAGTTACTGAAATCACATAGTGAAATTAAAAGTTATACACAACAAAGGATCAGATCAGGAAAGCAGTCCTCTGTGGGGCTTTATCAGACCCTACTAATTCCCATATTTCCTCATTTTGCAATCACCAGAAGAGCTGTGTTGGATTGTCCGTTAGCCCTCTATGACTTATTGCTCAGTTAGCCGGAGAGCAAAAAGTGACTGATCACAGGAGACACATTTTTTATTTTTGTTGCCCAGTGGAGTAAAAATGTGGCATGCAAAATTTACCTAGCCTCTCATGGCTACATAGCTTTCAAAGACTGTCTAAATGAAAGTGCTAAAGACTTTGTGATTTTTTTTTTATTTTATTTTATTTTCATGTTTATGAAAATGGTAACAATCATGAAAAACACTTGTCACAGTATGCTGTTATTTTTTCCTTTAGCATCTGAATGTCTCAATACCATGAGTGATTCCTCACCTTCATCTGGCCTTCTGCTGCAGGCTCCTTCCAAACAAAATGAAGGTTCCAGCAGCACAACAGGTAAAGCTGCCTTCCAGAATGTTGTTTGGAGAAGGTTAATAACTATTTTCTTATAACTTTTTGCAAAATATTTACAATAGAAATTTAAAACCACTTATCTCTGTTCAGCATTCTGAATACACCTGAGTGCAAGACTGGAAGAAAGGGAGAGAGGTATAAAACTAATGGGAGAGATTCTCTCCTTCACCCTAGGAGACTGCTGTAGCAACATGGGGATGATGGGGATGGCAGAACTGCAGACAAAGCCAAGAAGTAATTTCTCTACTAACAAAACTTGCACAAGCCAATTTTTCCTACTCATTAAGGCCTGTGACAGAAGACTCCAGTAGAGTTTGCTGTGGTTACATGATCTTTGCCTTTTAAACATCCCAGTTCAGTTTTGTTTTCCTTGCTATGTCTACTGTTCTCACTTAATTTATGCATCTGCATGTGGTGACAGCCTTGGATGATCACCCACTGGAGAGCCACCAGTCTGTTTTAATTAGCCCCAACCTTTGGTTCTCACATAATGCCACACCAGCTGAGCTTTGGCAGTGCGTACTTGCAAAATCTATCATTGCATCCCATAGTTGGAGCTTCCCTTCTCCCCTCCTTTCCTTCCCACAATACCAATACCCTTTCTTAGTAACGGGACTCTGCAAGAGCTGTTGCCTTCAAACTTCCCAAATTTGCACTGTTATTTATGCATAATCCATAGACCTCAGGGCAGATGTACTAACCTGTACTTCCAGAGCCCACCGGGTGCGTACAAAAGGAACAGCAGCTTGGGGGGGATGGGGGGAGGGTGTATGTGGAGAGAGAGATGCCAAAACTACAGAAACTTATAATATCAGAGCATATATGTTGCTTATCTTTAGGCAAGAAAAAGAAATGCTAGTGTTTTTTCCATCATGTCCATGCTTAGCTTTTTTTTTATAAGATCTGGGCATTTGCTGTGTAGATTGGGAAGCCTCTCTCTGCCACCTACAGTTCTGTTGTTTGGAATTAAGAGGGGAATCTAGAGAAGATGCTATTTTCAACATTTCTGCCTCCTCACAATGACTAACTGACCAGACTTAGCTTTCCAGCTAGACAGTGCCTGCAGTCCAAACTGAGTAAAAACCATTCTCTTCCATACAAAATGCTGATCTAGAGATTGACCTGTGGTGAGAAGACAGCCACCATAATTGTCTTGTGTTTTTCTTTCAGAGATTATCAGACTTCACAACAAATTACATGAACCTTAGGCCATCAAGCAAAAGAAGTTGTATTTAGATCTGAGTTGGTCTGCCCATCCCTGTGCTCAGTATATCTCCATTATGCAGTAGAGCACAGTTCAAAGATGAAAAGATAGCTAAGATCATCTCAACCCCAGAGTCAGAAGCATACACGTCATCCATACAAATGAATTGTTGCATTCAAGACAAAAAAATCGTGCTCAGAGACAGGGCTTCCTAGTTGGTTGTGGTGGCAGAGCTGTACTGCTTTGGGGCCTGGGCTGGAATTTGTTGTTAAATGAACATACAGATTTGAGTTGACCAGCCTGGGTATTTCTGCACAACTGGTGGTTGTGCTGTGCAGGCATGCCTTTGCCTTTGGAACAGTAATGTCCTCAAGTTTGATTTTAGTGCTTGGGGTTTTGTACCCCCTCTTCTGGTTTTAATCACTTTCACAGGTATTTATATTTTCGTTGCAAGTTTCCACTGTGATGCTTCCAACTAATTAGTTCTAATAATTACAGTACAACTTATTAGTTATATTTTAATTACTTGCTACTATTAGGGGGTTTCTTAATGCATTTCTTGACCTCTTAAATAAAAATGAGACCAATTCTTCTGTCCTTGTGCTAATCAAATGCTTTTACAGAAAATAAAAATCTTATCTGATCAAGAACTTTAGGACTAGGGTGAATATGATGATTAGTTTTTCATGCTTTTGGAAATCTTTCCTTTCCAGACCTAAGCAATGCTGCAAGATCACAAGAGACACCCTTTCAACGTAAAGTTCAGAGTCTGCTGGTGAATGCTGCAGGACAGCCAAGGAAAGAGAAAGTGAAATTACCATCATCCCTTCAAGGGAGAAAACCAAACTCCATACCAAACAAAAAGGTAAAACAATACCTTTGTTGTTAATATCCTCTCAATCTTCTCTTTTGCATAAAATCTTCACTCCGGAGTAATACTGGAAAGTATTTTGAATCTGTTTACTGAAACATAGTGGTTGCAATTTATGTATAAGTTTAATGGCAATTCTAAAAGTACCTTTCCTCTCAGCTGCTAGGACAAACTCATATGCCAAAAACATAGTTCTGCACCAAGCACCTGTATAAAAGCACTGATATCGAAAAGAGACAAGAGTCCCACTACCCTGGGACATCTCAATGGCTTAAAAATGTCTGAAAATTAAGACCACTATAAATTGCAGACAACATTCAAAGTGCCTCTTCAGGTTTTTCTCAAATTAGGATGTCTTTTTGTAATTCTTCAGGATGAGTGGACAGTCAAATGTAGGCTAAGTAACTCTGAACTTAACTTGATGGCCACCAGCTTTCTCTGTCATCTAATTTAATTTTAATTCTGTTTGCAAAGATAGAAGATCCTGCTGCAGGCAAGGTCAACACATCTTCTCTTGCAACAGCAAGACAGCATCTTAGTGGCTTCCATCTTATTCCAACCAGAGTGACACTCGGAGTCCTAAAGGAAGGCTATACCTATGCAACCACCGTGATCCTGAAGAATGTTGGTGTGAACTTCTCAAGGTTAGTTTGAATTTTTAGTACCTTTGGTTTATAACTGTCCAAACATACATTGCTTGTTAATTGTCAACTTTCTGATCTGCTTAACTTTGATAACAAATGGTATTTTTATATGTGGAGTCATTTGATAATGACTTGCATAGAGGAGAGGAGATGATGTTAGAAATACTTCAACATTATTTGTATATTAGTGTTACTAGGAAAATAGAAAGCAGTAAGAAATAGCAGGTCCTGTATGCATAGTCCTGGCCCACTGCAGCTGATTGACTGGTTTTTATTGAAGCTCTTTGCTTCAAGGAACAAAGTCTTTCATAGTAACCAGCACTACATTTGGCTTTGGGAAATGCAGCTGTATTCAGGTAGACACATGTCTTTAGCTGCACTGAGAACCAGCTCCAGTGATGACACTGGGAACAAGGAGAGGCCGAGGATGAAATAAAGCATTTATTTGTGCACACGTTTCCCTTACTGTTACCCCTGTCAGTGCGTGGGACAAAATAGCACTGCACTGCCTTCCCAGTGGGGTGTGGACAAGTAAATCCATTTCTAGGTCTGCAGTCCAGCAGATTGTCTTGTGCCCTGCATGACAAATCCCAGGAAATTAACATATGTACTCAGCTCTGGTTTAAAGAATATATAAATACAGTAAGAAAATGCTTGTGATTGCTCTTCTCTACTTAGAATTCCCCTGTTGAGTGACTGCACATACATTCATTTAGTCAGTCCCACACCAGCACAGTTCCAGTGGTTTTACTTTAGCATTATTCAGGCAGGTGTGCTTATGACCACTGTCCTCTCAGGTGCCATAAATGTGACAAAAAAAAGGGAAAAGCATATTCCTCCCATTCAGTTTGCTCAACTGCACTTACCTTAGCAGTGCTATATATACACCTTGCTTTTTAGTTTAGAGGAGAGCCTGCAACACAGTCTCTTAAGTCCTTACAGCTTCTGGGCTTCCACTTAAGGTTTGTCACTTAAAAGAAGCTTCATTTGAATGGTTATAATCCCTCCAGATGGTTTCAAGAATTGCAGTACTCAGCAGGAAGCTTTCATTTCACATGGCTCAAAAGCCTCAGGAGCCAAAAAACCAAGTTTTTTAAATTCCTGTGTTCTAAGATAGCAATTTCCACTGAAGTTTTCCAATGTCAGCCTCTCACTCCCACCTATTCTCCATCACCACCTGCAGCTGGAGAGGTTGTTAGTATATTTACTGAAAGTTGCTATTTAGGCCAACCTCATCCATTTGTCCTAATGGACAGTTACATACAGTTCTTTCAGAAACTTAAAGAGTAAGCCAGGCTTGGACCACTCCTGTTATATGGACCTTTTTTCTGCTAGACCCACAGATCCCAGGAGAGGGAGGCTAACTGAAAGCATGGACATAAACGTCCTACTATCATGTTGGTCATCCATTCAAAAGCTGGTTCTTCTTCTCAGCACTGGTGATAAATAGTTTTTGTTTTTTCCTGCAACATTAGCACTGGTTTAAGGAAAACAGTAAGGAGGGCATGAAACATTCTTGGGCTTGAGCATGCAAGTTTTATGGCCTTGATATGCTGCAGCTTCTGGATCCTATTTCTTCGGAGCACTCTTCACATGAGTAAGCACCTGCCAAACTTACCTTTTCTGGATGCAGATGACCTACAGTTTGATGTCCTCTTTAATAAGAGAGTGGAAAGAGGTGTCACAGTGACACTATCTCAGCAGTCACAGCATCCCTTTACTATGGTACCTGTCTTGTCCCACGTGGTGGGTTATGAGGGGGGTGAATCTTTTGAATTCCCCAGAGCCTGCATGCCAGTGGAAAAGCCAGTCTCTGCTCAGCAGAGCTGCAGGGCAGGCTGAGTCACCATGATGATTCAGAGGAAAAACTGTGCTGGTGACTTCATTAACTGACCACTTTACTAAGTGAATGGAGACAATTTGGCAACAATCAACTGATAACCCTTCTGAGAATAAATAAAGGCGCTTTGGCAATGAGACCCATCAATGACCAACCGATCGCAAATCAACTCCTACAAAACTTATACACATAAATATGTGTAAGAGAGAGAGAACAGAAAGAGGAAAGAGAAGAGGCGGGGATACAAAAATCACCACCCTTGGATCCCATGTTGTCACAGAGTAGCCAGCGTGGTCCATAGGTGGCAGGTCAACAAAGACACAGGTGGGGTATTGCCTTTATATAGTCTTTTTTATGACTGCCCAATAGGCTGTTTCAGAAAGTTCTTGTTTTCTCTGGCTGGTACCTGCACAGTGAGGCAAGTTCTGTCTCTGGCCAACACCAGGAGGGAGAAGGAGAGAAATGGCCCACTGCCCCATCTCTGCAGAGCAACCCACTTGAGTTTGAGACATCCTCTTTACCAACAGTTGCTTGCTTATGAACAGTATGTGACACTACCACAGTGCTGGAGTGAAATAAACATTTATTGTTCTTCCTCCTTGGGTAGCTAATTATCATCAAAAGAGGACCTCATAGGAGACTTACCCTGCTGGGATCATCATGATCTCTTGCGAGTACTCAACCAACTAGATGCTTTAGCAATCTATTCAAAACTAGCTGAGAGACTACTGTACAGCTTCTTCTGCCAGGATGGATGGCAGATTACTTTTTTTTTTAATCAGACTAGTTGGATACAGCCTCCAAGAAACATTTTTTACGTTAATGCACATTTAAGTGTCACGGCACATGCCATGATAAATCAGCAGATCACAGACCAACATCCTAGAGCTGAAGATGTGCAAATTACATTTTATTTTATTTTTCATGTCAGGGCACTATCTGTAGACAGTCAGGAAAAATACCACCATGATTCTGATACATCCAACTTATCTTTTAAGCCTTTTGAGAAGAAAACTACGTGTCTGGCTGCTGAATGACATCAGAAAATGCTGAGGGCAGGAGTAGGGCCAAGGGTGGGCAATTCTGAGTGCTGTCTGCCTCGTGCTGAAGCCAAAACTTTTTCCGTGACAGGGTCAGTAGTTAACTATGCACCTTCCAAACTATCCATGCAATAACCTGAACTTGCTGGACATCCTGACAAAAATCAAGCCAGGTTTCTCATAACAGTCAGCACTCCAGAGAAAGCACAGGAATTCTGAGAGCCTGTTTGTAAGTCTGCCAGAGCTTTCCATATCCTAGGAATGCCTCTTCTGCGTTTCCTTTAACAGCTTCTGGTGCATGTGCATGCTGGTAACTGTTCTTTAGGTGGAAATGAAAACCACAGAATAAAGTCCAGAGCCTTGCAAAAGTAGAGGTCATACCTGCTCTAATGATCTTTAGAGATTTTAACAGGGAAAATTGTGGGCACAGGACTGCACAGATATGAAACAATCAGAAATGAGGAAGTGGACGTACTGCCTTAGTGGGTACTGTGAAATTAAAGACAGTTTACACAAAATTTATACCAGTATCATGCATTCTGCAATAGAATCATATCAAAGCACATGAAATAAAGATCATTAAGGACTTCTGGGTGTGCAACACACAGGTGTTTGCCAAGACATAGTTTGTCCTTCAGCTTCCTTTGTGTATGCGGGCTTAGAATGCTGATCTTTCATGGTCTGTTGTAAGGACCGGGCAGTGTAACAAGCTCTTCAGAGACTGTCTGGCCCATTAATCTGCTCCTTTTGGGTTTTTTTTTTTGTTAGAAACCTGAGCCTTGGTGAGAAGCCCGCTGTAGCCCAAGCTGTACAGGAAGGATGAGCTAACAAATTCTGCTGCTGTTTGCATGCTTCCCAGCACTGCCTTCTGCCTGCCTGAGACATTTTCTGGAAAACTGATTCTCTTCTCTTTCTGACAGGTTTCAGGTGAAGCAACCACCTCCACACACAGGACTGAGAGTGATGTACACACCAGGACCTGTACGTTACACAGATCTTTTGGGTTTTGCTAGACTTAGTTGGCCCTCAGGCCCTTGAGAATAGTCAGTGTGAGGTTAATGGTTGGACTAGATGATCTTCAAGGTCTTTTCTAAACTAGATGATTCTGTGATCTAGGGGTTTTCTCACACCAGCTGCCTGGAAATAGAGCTGGCAGGGTACATGATTTGTTTAAAATTATTTGAAGTGATGCTGCCTTCCACTGTCCCTCTGCTGCCTTCAACCAAGCACCCCACGTGCTCTGAGTCTCAGAGCCTGCACCAGAATGCAGAGGGATAAACACGCTTAAGTTCAGTGGAAAATAGCAGGTCAAGCACTGAGGTTAAAGAGAGCTTTTTTTGAAGTAAACAGGATACTTGACCACTACCTCTGAGTTTTCCCATCCTTCAGGGTATCTGTTATATCTGCTCTGTCTTAGGCCTAGACTTTATTTCCTGTCTTGATACCTTCAAGAGTTGAACCTAGTAAACTCTTCCATCAACTATTTCTTCTCCTGCTTGCAACTATTCTCCACCTTATGTCTTTTACCTAGCAAAGCACCATAGCACATGAAATTGCCCCAGTAAGTAGGAAGCTTTCACAGTTACTGCTTTTATTCAGTCTCTCTCTTCACCTCTGCATTGTATCTGAATAAATATCATGCTGGCTGGTATCCTCACAGCATCCAGGTAATACCAAGCAATATCCTTGCCACTGTTTTTACATGCATGGAATCAAAAAGCACTGGCTTTTGCAAGGAGGCAGAGTCAGAATGCAAGTTAAACCTCCTACTCCAGAGCCCTACCCACAACTCAGTACTTAAAATCACAGAATCGTAGAATAGTTTGGGTTGGAAGGGACCTTTAAAGGCCATCTAGTCCAACCCCCCTGCAACGAGCAGGGACATCTTCAACCAGATCAGGTTGCTCAGAGCCCCATCCGACCTGACCTGGAATGTTTCCAGGGATGGAAACATCTACCATCTCTCTGGGCAACCTGTGCCAGTGTTTCACCGCCCTCACATTAATTTCTTATATCTAGCCTAAATCTATTCTCTTTTAGTTTAAAACTGTTACTCCTTGTCCTATCACAACAGGCCCTACTGAAAAAGTTTGTTCCATCTTTCTTATAAGCCCCCTTTAAGTACTGAAAGGCTGCAATAAGGTCTCCCCAGAGCCTTCTCCTCCAGGCTGAACAGCCCCAACTCCCTCAGCCTTTCTCCCCAGGAGAGGTGTTCCATCACTCTGATAATTTTTGTGGCCTCCTCTGGACCCGCTCCATCAGGTCCATGTCTTCCCTGTGATGAGGATCCCAGAACTGGACACAGTACTCCAGGTTGGGTCTCACCAGAGCAGAATAGAGGGGCAGAATCCCCTCCCTCGCCCTGCTGGCCATGCTGCTTTTTGTGCAGCCCAGGATACGGTTGGCTTTCTGGGCTGTGAGGGCATGTTGTTGGCTCATGTCCGGCTTTTTATCCACCAGTACCCCAAGTCCTCCTCCACAGGGCTGCTCTCAATCCCTTCATCCCTCATCTTATATTGATATTGGAGGTTGCCTTGTGCAGGACTTTGCACTTGGCCTCCTTGAACCTTATGATGTTCACATGGTCCCACCTCCTCAGCCTGTCCAGGTTCATCTGGATGGCACATCCCATCCCTCAGGCGTGTCAACAGCACCACTCAGCTTGGTATCATCAGCAGATGTGCTGAGGGTGTGCTCAGTCCCACTGTCTGTGTCACTGATGAAGATATTAAACAGCACTAGTCCTAGTACAGACCCCGAGGGGTCAGGGGCCACTTGTCACCAGTCTTCATCTGGAGACTGAGCCATTGACCACTACCCTCTGGATGTGACCATCCAACCAACTTCTATAATAATCCAGAGTCCACCCATCAAATCCTTATCTCTGCAATTTAGAGAGGAAGATGCTGGGGAGATGGTGTCAAAGGCCTCAGGAGTCCAGACAGATGGCTAGAATAACTTCCATTCTTTTTTCTCTCCACAATTCCATCCTTTTTGTATCTTGCTTTTCTCCCTACCTCTATATTCTTTTTAGAGTAGAACAGAATGGACTATTTCAGTTGGAAGGGACCTACAACAATCATCTAGTCCAACTGCCTGATCAATTCAGGGCTGACCAAAGTTAAATCATGTTACTAAGGGCATTGTCCAAGTGCCTCTTAAACACTGACAGGCTTGGGGCATAGACCTCTCTATGATTCTCCCCCCAGCTGTCCCAATTCCCCTTACTCCCTCTGGAACCTAAAAGGAAATTTAAGGCAAAAAAATGCAAGCACTTGACAGTTTTCTTTCAGACTGTAATGTAAAGAGACACTGTTTTGTACAGACCTTTCTAGTGAAACAAATACTAGGTAACTAGCCACACAATCACCTGTGATGGCCACTAAGCCTTTCATTTACTGGAAGGGACTATGTATGGAACATGCACCACACCTGTGAGTAATCCCCTATCTCTCCTAGGTGGCAGCAGGCTTGCAGGTGGAACTGGAGATAGAGATTTTTGCCATGGTAACTGGAGGGGAAGATACCGATGGCCTTGAAGAAGTTTCCCATGATATTGAAATATTAACAGAAACAGAGACTCTTCTCCTGCCTGTGAGAGCAAATATCCTTTGTTGTCTTACTTCCCACACACATACACCTTCTAGCATCAATCCTGGGGACCATCCACCTCCTCAGGAGCCTTAAGCATTGTTTCCATTGAAGGCTGCTGAGGTAGCAAGTTTTACTGTCCTTTTCTGTGACATGCAGATGGGTATTTTCAAAAGTACAACAAATGATTCTGACATCAAAAGCAACTTACACCAGAGTAACAACGGTTTGAAAAATAGGGAAAGGAACAATGGTAAGCTCAGCAAAATGTGTTGTTTTAAAAAGAAATGAAAGTATAATAAGAGGAACTCTTTCCCACCACCCCCAATGGAAATCCTTTATAACATTTTTGAACCTGTAGTAGCATCTGACAGTGCAGCCTCATAAGCAACAAAATCATGTATCATCCTGGATACTGAAGACACAATCCCTGCTCCAGCAGACACACAAGCACAGAAATGCATGAATGCTGTCAGAAACCAGCCCAGTGTGGGTTCAGTGGGATTTTCAGCTGTTTAATTGAGGACAGAGATTAAGAAAATAATGCAAGTCAAGAACCATTATTTCTCTCTCCCTTGTGCTCCAGAAACTATTTTTTACATAAAATTACAGGCTCATTTTTTAAGGACAAGTTCAGAAAAAAGGGTGAAGCTCTGTTTTGACTATCAATCAGATATACACTTAAAAGCCTGGGAGAAGAGGTCTTCTTTAAACCTATAAATGAAATAGCAAGGCAAGGTGCATGCAAACACACCAGAAACTCCATTCTGGTAAGCACCACCCTTACCAAAGAAGGGAGAACTTCAGGGTCCTCTGAGCCTGACCAAAGTACTAGCTAACAGCAACTCCACTGAGGCTTTATATGCCCTGAAGTGACACTGAAACTCCCAAATTTACTTCATAGTCACCCAGAAAAGTCTTTCAAGCCCATTACTGCAGAGCTGAGCTAGACAGGGCTGCTGACATAGCAGCAAAAGCAACTCCTGCTCTGTTCCCACTCACCCAGCCCTCAGTCAGACACACAGTTGCAGACCAGCCTCCAAAACATGTGCCCTTCCCCAATATTTTATCTGGTCTTTGAGCTGAGGGGAGTAGTCCAGATTCAAGCTGTTTCACAGCTTTATTTCTAGAATCCATTCCAGCCTTGACATGTATTATTAAAGTTACATAAATGTACAGAAATGGTTGGATCCTTAACATGATATTCCACCTGTGTTCACCAGTGATGTTTATGAGTGCCGCCCACAAGGATTCCCCCAGGGTGGGACAGCCACAACAGTCCGGGTAGTTCCTACAAGCCCCAGGCCACGGTTCCAGATCACACTACCCCAAAAGCTTTCTAGTTAATATAAGTACTGGATGCAGTAATACCAGCTGTGAATTAAAATACAGTAGTTTGACCTCCTCTTGGTTTCTGATCCACATCATCAAACCTCATGCAAATGACAGCAAAGCTGTCATGCACATATCACACAGACATGACATTTGACATTGTCCTACACAACATCCTTGTCTCTATACTGGAGATACGCGAGTTTGATGGATGGACCACTTGATGAATAAGGAATTGTCTGGATGGTTGCACTCAAAGAGTTGTGGTCAATGGCTCTATGTCTGAGTGGAGAGCAGTGACAAGTGCCTTTCCTCAGGGGTGGGTGTTGGGACCGGCACTGTTTAACATCTTTGCTGACAGTGGGATTGAGGCACTCTCAGCAGTTTGCTGATGACGTTGAGCTGTGTGGTGCGACTGACACGCTGGAGGGAAGGGATGGGCCATCCAGAGGGACCTGGACAGGCTGGAGAGGTGGGACTGTGCTGACATCATGGAGTTCAACAAGGCCAAGTGCAAGGTCCTGAACATGGGTCGGGGCAATCCCAAGCACAAACACAGGCTGGGTGAGGAGTGGGCCGAGAGCAGCCCTGCGGAGAAGGACTTGGGGTATTAGTGGATGGAAAACTGACCATGAGCCAGCAATGTGCACTCGCAGCCCAGAAAGCCAACCGTGTCCTGGGCTGCATCCAGAGCAGTGTGGCCAGCAGGGCGAGGGAGGGGATTCTCTCTCTCTACTCCACTCTCATGAGACCCCCCCCTGCAGTGTGTGTCCAGCTCTGGGGGCACCAACATCAGAAGGATACAGACTTGCTCGAGCAGGTCCAGAGGAGGCATGAAGATGACCTGGAGCACCTCCCCTGTGAGAACAAGCTGAGAGAGTTAGGGATGTTCATCTGGAGAAGGCTCTGGATCTTATAGCTGCCTCCCAGTACTTAAAGGGGCTACAGGAAAGCTGGGGAGGGACTCCTGATCAGAGGGTATAGGGATAGAATGAGGGGTAATGGTTTTAAACTGAAAAAGGGTAGATTTAGATTAGATACAAGGAAGAAATTCTTCCCTGTGAGGGTGGTGAGACACTGGCACAGGTTGCCCAGAGATGCTGTGGCTGCCCCCTCCCTGGCAGTGTTCCAGACCAGGTTGGACGGGGCTTTGAGCAACCTGGGCTAGTGGAAGGTGTCCCTGCCCATAGCAAGGGGGGTGGATCGAGATGGTCTTTAAGGTCTCTTCTAACCCAAACCGTTCTATCATTCTATGACAACCTGACACAAGAAAAGGGAAGCACTGGATGGCGTTAACCAAAAGGACTCACTGCAAGAGATTTACAGAGGACTACCACTGCCCAGCCAAGCCTCTCCAGTCTCAAATCCTTCACTTAACCATCTCCACATTAAACTAGTCATTAAGCCTCCTGGCAGCAGGAGGCTGGATTTATTGCAGTTAAGACCTCATAAATCAGCTTCTATTTAACACTCTTCACCTTCTAAAACCAAGTCTTACTGCTGACCCTTTTACACTGACAGCAAGTCTAATAAGGGATGGGAGTCTTGCAGGTAGACAGGGCAACCTTAACGTAAGTTCACACACATACAACCCTCTGCACACATCATTTCATGCAGAACGTTTCCGTAACCTTAGAGAATCAGGCTATACAGAGAATGGGTAATCTTCCCTGCCAACAAAAGCAGCCTATTGGGAATTTCTCCTCAAACCATCAGCCAACAATTTAACATTAGGGTGGTGTTTCGCCTCACCCATATCAACTCAGGCACCCTACAATACATTGATGGTGACAGTTCATAAACAGGAACCCTGTGGATGTTTCTTCTCTCCTCAGCTCAAGAATCCCCATTTGCCTCATATGTGTAACACTGACATCATCTTTTTCTTTCAACTTTAACATCTGTAAGTTGGCCATGTTATCTAACAAGTCAGTAAAGAAATCCCAGCTGTGTATCATTTCCTCTCCTCTGGAGGAAGAAAGTGACCACATCACTCAGTTCTTAAAAGAAACTTCAGAGACACACACCTCTGCTGCATCTGCTCTAGGACTCTTTTTTTTTTTTTTTTTTTTTTTTCCTGTTTAAGTATCTTCTTACATTTTCCAGTATGGAATTCTACCCCCAAAGTAACATGCAATTATAGGCTAGAAGAACAGCAAATTTAATGCCTTCCAGGTTAGGGGCTTACAACCTGGAGCTCATCAGTGAAGGCAATTTAGACAAACTTCTCTCACTTTGTGTTGAAATGGAAGAGAAGTACTCACCCAGTCAGTTCGCAATTCAGTGAGACACCTCCCCTGTCCCAACAGGCTCAACTGAAATTCTCATCAGTGTCACCTCTCATCAAATCTCCAAGTGGAGAGAAAAAAAAAAATTAACTCCACAGTATTCTCCTCCCACACGGCTAATCCAGTTAATCATAGTTACTGCTGCCACAGCCAAATCTCCCTTCTGCTCTGACAAAATTTTTGTGAATTGATTGATAATTTCTACTGAAGCTACCCCATGCTACCCAAGCAATGGTACGAAATGCCTCTTTGAACATTCCTCCCCACAAAATCTCCTGGACTCAAAACCACATCCACCTCAAACAGGTCAAGGAACCCTGGACTGGTTGGGGACACATGAAACATGAGACACTGACACTCCTAGGTTAAGTCCTGTATTTGGCTAAATAGTCTTCTTCAACCATCCAGAACAGAAATAGTTAAGTCCTTGCAGAGGCAACCGTGACAAACTTTTGAGTTCACATCGCCTTTCCCAGGTGGTTATCACCAGAGCCAGAGATTCTCTCCACTGAGACCTAGAAACTTCCCTGCAACATTAGGCTTGATCACACATTTGCCACACCTCCTAGTAGAGAACAAGCAAAAATCACTGATGAAGCATCACCTAACCAAACTTAAGTCATTTGTATTTCCTTAGTTATTTCTCATTTAAATGTAAAACGTTTCACAAAGGTTCCCTCAGTTGACTCAAAATTAAATCCTGCACAGGAAGCTGCCCGAAGCCTTCAGTATTCCTGCCCATCCTGAACTCGCTGTCACAATTTTTATGCCATTCATTTGTGAAATAAAAGCAAACTCAATCTAATTGAAGCCTGTGTGAGAACCCTTGCTCATGTTGTTCCCTTGCAACAGCAAGAGCAGAGTCCAGTTCTGCTGAAGCCAGCCCATAGCAATCACAGTGCTCACACAACACCTGCAAAGTATGTGGACATAACTGCTGGGTTTCCTTCAACAACTGTACAAAGGTAGAGGTGGAGTTTGGGGTTTTTTTTCTTTCATGTGAATTTTCTCTCTTACACTACAGGTCAGAGCCCTAGAATAACCTGAAGACCAGCAATACTGAAATACTGAGTCTTAGTGCGTTATGGAAACATCCCAATGTAACTTTTTCATTTATTTAATCTGATTAACATGAATACGTATTTTGTCTGTCCCCAGTCAAAGGGAAAAGTGGTCCAAAAGTTGCACAGCCTTCTGACATGGCTCTCTGAAATGCAAACAGTGGAAAGATTACTATATTTCAACGCCAATGTCTGATACTCTGTCAGAAGAGCCAAATGGTTCCTAGCAGCTTTACTTTGTTTTCTAAAGGGGTTTAGGTTTCTATAATCTGTGCTGAGGCACCTGAAATCTTTAAGTACTATGCATGCAGCAGGTTTCACTGAAGTCAAATGTGATTCAAGAAAGAGCTGCTGATCTGCTCTGGTCTTCCAATTCCTAAGTTAGTTTGCTTTCACAATCATAGGCTTAATTTTCTGTGTGTTCACCTGCATTTAATTAGCTGCAGACACCAGATGGGAATTACAAGTACACAAAGTTACATTTGACAGAGAGGGATTGACAGGGATTCTGCTTATATCCTCCTCTTCATCAGCAGACTTGATCATCTTCAAATACTCATCAGCACATCTCTTCATAGTAGAGGACTGAGCCACTTAGATATGGCCTTTTTTCCCCCCTTTGTTCCTGCTTACATAGTAGTGACTAAAAGAAAACATCTCAGTCTCTCTGCGAGACACCATATTTGTATATCTAATTGCCAGCAGTGTGCTTTCCTGTGCTTCATCCTTTTTCCAGCATGTGATATCCTGAGAGATGGGGAATCTTCCTTGACACATGCACATGACTTCTCTCAACAATTTACAGTGTCTGAGAATCCCATGATTGGGTATTAAATAATAGCTTAGACCACTGCAAGCTCAGGTTTGTAAATCCACGGAGTTTCACTAAGAAAGGGCAAGGTGAGGTGCCCAAGGATATCAGAATTCTAATGTATCAGTGGGCACAGGGCAGACCTCTTCCACTTAAAGCAGATGCTGAGCTCCCTCAGTATCCGTCCGAGTACTGCACTGATGTTTTCCACTGCCCCACCAGACATGACTGTTTGTCCACCAAGCCATTTGAGTCAGATCTAACCTACTAACCAAGGCTAAAAGCCAGCTCAGGAAGGTGTTGAACCAGATACCCAGCTGTGGATGTTCTTTAAGCCCTGCCCACAGACGAGAAACCACCACAAGAAGCAGTGTCAAGCTTGATCCAGAATTCCCCAATGCCCAAATGCTTTTCAGTTTTCTGTAGGCACAGCCAGCAGCCCTCCAGCAGTCTCCCTGGGAGCTCATTCTGGGCACTGAGGCGACCCAGTGCTGCCAGACACAAAGCAGAGAACCAGAGGGAAAGTTCACTGAGGATGCCTGTGTCAGCACCTATGGAAAGAGGACACCTCAAGACCTTTTCTTCCAAGGATTCTTCCCAAATTGCAGAGACAGGGAACAAAGGCGAAGGAATCCCACCTCTTCCCAGCTTTGATGATCAAAGGAGACACCTGTCATCATCATGGGATGACGACTCTGCATCCCAAGCCACTCTTGCATACCACCATCTACATCCTTGTCACCAGTCCCTGAGTTCACATGCACCTGTGGCCGTGTTTTTTTTTCCAGGCCTCCCCAAGGATCATCAAAACAGCTGCTTATTATGTAGGTTCCACATTTCTCTCCCTGGCACATCACATGGAGGTGTACAACTCAGCCTTCCCCTTTTGGTACCTGGTTTTGGGGTCTCTCTCCTCAGTCATCCCTGCTGGAGGCGCACTATGGTGTCACCAGCCACCCCTCCACTTGTAAGACTTCTGTTTCTTTACTTCCCCAGTGGACCAGAGCATTTCAGCAGCAGCTCATATGGATACAGGATGTCCACTAAGCTTACCAACACTGCTCATCATCCCACAGTGCCTCCTTTCCCTCCCATTGCAGTAATCCCTCTCACGAGGAGCAGTAAAGGAACAGAACAGAGCAAGATGAAATAGAACAGAGTAAGGCAGGATGGAGACATGTTTGAGTGGAGCTGTTTGATCACAAGTTTCATCTGTATCTGGACAAATAAAAAGTTATAGAGGCAACCAGAAACAACTGGCAGAGCTGTATGAAGACTGCAGTTTCCATAGTCTGAGACCCACCTCCTGGAACTGGAGCACAAAGTGCTGCTGTAAATTACCCAGACTCTGAAGAAGCAAGTGAACCAAAAGACCCCTGACAAAGTTATTTACTAACAACTCTAAGAGGAGTGGTTACTGCACCTGAGGTATTGCCAAAAGAGAGACCAGCTGAACCATTTGCCTTGTGCATAATTGCTAGTAATAGAGAACCTAAGTCAAAGACAATCCTCAGTGACAACTGGGTTGCAATTAAAACTCCATATGAAGTCTAAGTTAGAAAGAAGCCGAGCTTTGGAGTACCCAAGTCAGACCTGTAAGTCCAACAGTCAGCGAAGTACCCAGAAGCAGCCCCCACCACATCCATCAAACCTGTTATTACTGGTAAAAAACACAGCACATACTACAAACTAAAAACTTGGTGATAGCAGCAGAGACTTGCTCCCTTTATCCTGCCCAATGCCCCCACTGTGAAAATGAATCATTTTATCTGATACAGGACAAGTACAACATCACAACAATTCAGTGCAACTGCTAAAAGCTGGAGCAGCTACAATGCAAACAACCCACACTTCTCGTGATCAGTCCGCCAACTCTACGGAACAGCACAATCCTGGATGGCAGCCCTTCCGTTTCCTCCCACAGGTTTTATTCTCTGGAAATAAAAAATAAAATCCCTTCGAGAACTGACACACAGGGCAAAGGAGTTGAGGCTTTACTAGCGAAATATCAGGACAAAACCACATGAACAAAACTGTCTCAGAAAGCACCTATAAATATGCCTTTAATAGAGTGTGACCATGTCTGGCAGAAATCATGTAGCTCTGCCCAGAGGCTCCAAGCACTGCCACAAACCACCAGCAGGTATCAAAACAGCCTCAAATCTTGTCAGCTGCCTTCCCTGGCATGGGCACAGTCTCACCAGCAGTCCACATGCTGGATTCACTCCCTTGAGTCAACACTGCCAGAAGGAGCACATTTCTTCCGCAGGAGAAATCAACTCCATTTCTAACAGGCATTCCTCTGGAGGAAAAGCACGTACCTTTGACGGCCACCTCAGGAAGAGTTCAAATACATGTATATGCAGCTGACTAGAGTTTCTCTCAGAGACAACCATTCTGAGTAAGTGTTATATGCTGGGTTATACCGCATAGGAGGGGCCAGACTGTGTCCCGCTCACAGGACATCATCACAGATGTTCAGCCCCAAGAACACTTCCACAGCCAGCACTGAGGTTACAGGACCCCACATCCAGGTGCTTTGGGTCTTGGGCAACAAATGCTAGAGCACTGCAAGAACCATCTTCTCTTTCTTCTTCCTCTTCTTCTTCTTCTCCTCAAAACGGTCAGTAGCGTCAGCAAAAAATGTCACTTCATCCTTGGCCTCGATCTCCCTCTTCAGGAACTGGAGCCCTGCCATGTTGAATCCCAGCACATCCTGTGGAGACAGACCAGCACCACACTGTTGGGCACATCTCAAGCTTGTGAGGGTCCTGCCCTGGCCACCCTCTACTAAGAAAGGACAAAACCAAGACAATCTACAGATTGGAAAGCAATGTTATTTAAATGTACACTTCATCTGAATAGAACAGTCAGTCCTGCACTCTGTTCCCCATTTCTCTCTTAAAAGCAGCTATAATCACAGAATCACCTAGGTTGGAAAAGACCTTGAAGATAATCTAGTGGCCATCAAGCATAGCTACACATACAGAAGCATCTACAGCATTTAGAGATGGGACTATTTTTATTCCCACTGTATTTTCTGAAAGACAAGTTGCTGGCAGGCACCTGAAGTCACCTCTGGGAAGATGCACATTCTGCATTATTTGAGAGACTAGTAGCCCACAGAAAAGCCCAAGAGAAATAGTTTATTTACCTCCTACATACTTAGAAACTAGTGAGCCAAAGCCCAAATATATACATCACAGAAAACCAAGAGTAAATGAGGGAGTGAACACGAGCTCATCACTTGGTAGTCTCACATCAGGGGGAACATAAAGCAAAGGCAGCCTATGTGCACAGGAGGGAGGTGAAATGGGGTCAGAACCCCGACCAACTTTCCCACTGCATGCTACAGAAAACACGCACTCCCAGATATTATTCCTGTTAGTCCAGAACCTGGGAAAGGAGAGGGTGCAGCACTCACCCGGGCCTCGCTGACTCTGGAGATGGTGGTTTTCTTCAAATTTTCTATCACCGTCACCAGCATGTGGTTGCTTGTGATCTGCCCAAAATGTATTCTGGGAACAAAGCAGGCAGTGATGTATTGCAGAAGAACTAAGCATCAGAAAGTCCCTCTCCTGAGCATCTCTAGGTTCTGGACATGGATTCTTCTTACATCAGGCCTCCCCAGACCAGCCATATATGAATGGGCATGGACAAATTTATCTGGAAAAGCTATTTTCTGAAGCTTCTCTTTAACATACGAGGGAAGGTCTCTCTGCGGGCATGGGCTCTACAATGCCTCTGTGCCAGTCAGCAGTGCCATTTCAGCCTTGATGCAGGATCTTTCCTGCCAGTGAGACTTGGGGGACAAGGACCAGCAACCCCATTTGGGCACATCAGTGCTCTGCATCCCACTGGTCCGCTCCCACACACCATTTGCTGTGGGCTGCAGTGATTCCTCACCTCCTGCAGAGATCACATCTTTATTCCCAAGGACGCTCCCCAGCAGCTTCAGACTCAGGGACACAGGAGAAAGCCCAAATTTTCCCCACATTCTTACAGTATGTTCACGACAAGCAGCATCATTTCAGTGGCTCCAGGAAAGAGGGTGTATTGCCCAGCTCTGCGCTGTCTCACAGCACTGACTCACAGCACAGGAGCAAGGAGTTCACGTAAATGACACAAAGGAGTTCATGACATGCACCAGCACGAGGGGCCCAGAGGAAACAGTGGGCCCACTGCTGATCAGAGCCCTGTTAGGGCTTCCTCAGGTCCAGGTTCTGGACAGGAATAGCAAGACTTAAGACTAGCAGATCTGTCTGGGCAGATTAAGGACTCACTTGAGCAGGAAGAGGAGAGCTCGGCACAGGAGTTCAACTTCTGAACCCTGGTGAATGTATTCGTTGAAGAGTCTGAGCAGGTCAGGGACATAGGAGAAGGGCAGCACCAGGAGAGACTCTTCCAGCTCACTTGGGAGAAAGCAGAAGGACAGAAGCATTAGTCTCAGCCACTGTGCTTCTACAGGTGAGCAGGAAACACTTCCATGTAGGTAGGTTCTGGTACAAAAGCTGTGCTAAGCCTTCCTCACTGCTGGTCTGGGACTGCCCAGCTCATCCACACAGCCCAGGCCAGCAGACATCTGGCACAGGGAACAGCCATGCTGTCTTCCATCCTCAGCATCCCCATGCTGCTCTTCTCAAACACATGCACCCCCAAGCAGCCAACCCACATACACAAGATTCAGCCAACACTCCCCATGGAAGGAATGATTTCCATACCCCAATCCCACGCATGCTCCAAAAGAAGCTGCCAGCAACAGTAACTCCAGACTCGCTGGCACTGCCTACACCCAGCACCAAATCCAGTCCTGGACCCAGAAATCCAGTAGTCAGTCACAAATCTCTTCAAAAATAAGGCTCTTGGGACTCACCTTGATTTGACCTTCTTGAAAACTTCTAGCACATACACAGAAGGCTGTAACAGAGCAAAGTGTATTTTTTGCAGTCAGAAATTCTCAGACGTTCAGTGAAAAGCACTGTGTACTAGCATGACACGAGTGGCATGAGCTCTAGCCTCCAATACCTGGACATTTAACTACCATACATAATTTTTTCTCGTTGTAAATTCTTAAGGAATAGAAACAGAGTCAGTAACTGCTGTACCAGTAGCACCGAAATAAACCTGGGCAGCTACAACACAGCCCTGCCTTGCTCAGAGCTGCCCTGCACAGGCAGGGATTGAGGGTCGGGAAGCCTTCATGTGCTTCCACTTCCTGCTTCTGTGTCAAGGCAACACAGCAGATACACCGGGACAAGTGTTCCACAAGCAGAGTCTCTCTCAAGGAAGAGGATAAGCGACTGTCAGTGCATGAAGTCCTTCTGTTCATGATCTGACATGCCGAATGCTCATCGTGGTCAGTTCACCACATAACAGGGCATGTCATACCTTGCAGCTGTGTTTTTACCTAGCAGCCTAGCACCTGGACTAGCACATTCTTCCAAGACTTTGGAAACAGGTTCAGATTCCCTCTTCTGTACAGTGGGATTCAATCAAACATCACCTGCCTCCAAAGAAATTGCTAGCTACTAAGCCAAGGGATTTCATTCATCCCCGTTCAATCTATTTAAATTGCAATTAAAAATGCCCATATTGACAGCCAAAGGGAGAGAACAGCTCTGGCTAAGGGCTGACTGATAATGTCACATGCACAGTGACAGGGGCTCCCAATTGCACATTCCAGGGGATCACAGAATCATCTCGGTTGGAAAATACCTTGAAGATCATCCAGTCCCACCATTAACCTCACATTGACTGTTCTCAACCCCACCAGATCCCTCAGCGCTGGGTCAACCCAACTCTTCAACCCCTCCAGGGATGGGGACTCCCCCCCTGCCCTGGGCAGCCCATTCCAACGCCCAACAACCCCTTCTGCAAAGAAATACTTCCTAAGAGCCAGTCTGACCCTGCCCTGGCGCAGCTTGAGGCCATTCCCTCTTGTACTATCGCTTGTTAGTTCATTAAAGAGACTCATCCCCCCTCTCTGCACCCTCCTTTCAGGGAGCTGTAGAGGGCCAGGAGGTCTCCCCTCAGCCTCCTCTTCTCCAGACTAAACCCCCCCAGTTCCCTCAGCCGCTCCCCATCAGACCTGTGCTCCAGACCCTGCACCAGCTCCAATGCCCTTCTCTGGACATGCTCGAGTCATTCAATGGCCTTTTCATAGCGAGGGATGCTCAGGTATTTTGTGTTAAGATGGCACAGCTCCTCCAGAATAAGCTATCACATGGCAACTGCAGCCTCCCAGCAGCAGGAACGTGTGTCCTACAGCACAGGAAAGGTTTGAACTACCTTTCCCATTATTTTGGTGAATACTGTAAACCACCACTGGTTCATGATAAGGTACAGGATAAGGCCATATCTACTGTCAGGTTTATGTTTAACCCTGATGGGGTTAAGCTTTTGTAATATACATGCAAGATATAAAAAAAAACCCCAAAACCCAGATTGTGTTCCCTCAGCACAAGCTGAGTTTTCATTTCAAGTTGAACCAAGTGGTCCTCCTTCCTCACAGCAAGCCAGTCCAGCAAATCAACCAGCCCCACTCCAGCTGGGAATGGCCCACAGCCTGGGGCCTGGGCATGCCACTTACTGTAATATTTCCATAGGCACGAAGGATGGGATTGACAGGAAAGGGAACCTGCAGACACAAAATGGGTTAGGATGAGGCAGGTGCATGTGTACAAATGCACATTCACAGAGAAAACTTCAACCTTCTGTAGAACAGAGCTTTTATCAAGTGTCTTTCTGCAATCCCCACATTTCTACCCTTCCCAGAACATCGCTGAAGGCCTCATTTGCAGCCACTAGACAACCTCATTTTCAGGCATACATGACTAACTCAGACATGTATGAATTTTCTTCCACTTCTTGTCACTTTTCCTCCTTATATCACAGCCCCTTATTAAGCAGGAAGTGATGAGATAAGACAAAGAATAGGCTTTGGGATGAATCTGCAGCAGCAGGCTCTCTCAGGGACAAAACTTACATCCTACTGTGACTTTAAAAAGGTGGTTGGAAAGACCACACCACCATCCATGACACAGAGCACAGCGCCAGTTTGTTCTCCAAAAGATTTCAGCAAATCTCTGCTATTTCCAGCTGTCCCAGTTTTATCTGCACGCTGAGCCCTTCCACCTGAGCTGGAAGGATACACCCAATACAGCTTGGCATTGGTACGTTCCTCAGTCTTTTACCTCTTTTCCTGCAGCTTTGCATATGGCCGTGTGTTCCTTTAGTTTTGCCATCTCTTCTCTGTACAGCTCGATAGCTTCCATGATCCGCTCAGCCTGTGCAGTACAGTAACAGCACATCAGTGACACCACCCGAGCCAGAGCAAAGCTCGAGTCCAACAGGACAAACGGAGGTGGAAGCAGAGGGGCTGACACAGAAAGATAACCTTTCTCCAGACCGCACCACTGCCCTGAGCCCAGCAATCACGTCCTGAAGACGCCAAACACCATCCACATTCCCCCCTCCACCACTGCCTGGGTGCTCTCTGCTGCAGCTTCAGTTGTTGCCTTGACATTGAACTCCACCCCTTTGCGGCACAAGCCAGGGCACAATTCAGATTAAGGATTTCCTCTGTATTTACAAGAGCACCAGACTGTTGAAATTCATGGCTGT